TGCACGGGGACCTTGAGACCAGGCTGACTTCAGCCAGATCACTGCCCAGGGAGCCCAGGTGACGCGATTTTGCAGACAGTCAACAGTATTTGGTGCTAATGACTACTGAAGATGAATTAGAGGAGGAGTTTCAGGCCTGCCAGGCCTATCAGAACACCTTAGATGAAAGCAGAAGCCAGGGGTTTTCAATGTAGAAAGGCTGTGTGAGATCAGCCCCTGGTGGACACCTTCACTACTGCAATTGCCCTGCTTTGGGGAGGAGGCCTTTTGGTTTAGCACAGGAGCCCTGAGCCTCCCTTTTCACGTCAGATTGAGAATATTTGGAACATAAACTGACTCCAGATGTCAGAAATAGAGCATTCCCTGATTATACATAGATATGAAGTATGGACTTCTTGAAAAGGCTGTATGGCGGAGCACCTACCCGCTTCTCCCTAAAATAAATTATATCTCCTTAGCAGTGACCATCATTTGCAAAAGAAATGGCCCAGAAAATCCTCTGCTTGTTCTTTTGGAGACAGGGTCTCATTTTTAGCTCAGGCGAGACTTGAACTCACTAGAATTTTCAGCAACCATTCTGTCTCAGCCCCTTGAGTGCTCGGATTGCAGAAGTGAACCACAGTGCCCTGCTATTCACAGATTAATGCAAAGAGAGACATTACTCTGCTCTTTCCACCTTCTCCAATGTTGCCTTTGGCTTTTTAAGAATTTCATTTAGTGCCACTATGCAGTTTTCCAGGTAAAGAAATGGGAACGAGCATCACAGAGATGGGCATTCTATGCCCCAAACCCCAAAGGAAATAAACAGTAGGGCCAGTAAAGGGGGTCGCAGCTGTATTAATATTTCCAGAGAGGGTATGTACGGGAGGCAGGAGAGGATGGCTGGGATGTCCTGTCCAGTTGTCATTGTCTTCTCTTTTAAATACAGATAAAGGTTCAGAAGCATTTCTACACTTCAGCACAGAGTGTAGAAGATTTCCACCACGAACAGCCACCACAGCAGAGGGTAGTAGGAACCACGGGGTGGTGGGGGTTGAGGGGTGTTTCTGGTCCACATGTCTTAGAAAGGTAGCCTTTGTCCAGTTCCCCTGGCTGGTGTGGGAAATGCTGAGGACTTTTCAAGAGAGCCCTCTAATCTGGATTTTAATTAGTAGTTTGCTCCACGTGCCCATTCCGTCAGTGTTTATTAATTGAGTGCCTACTATCAGCTAATGTAAGCTTGAACTTGAAGCAGACTAAATAAAGCCTCTGACTTTGGGAGGCTTCTGTTCTAACAGAGGGTAGGCCCAGAAAAAAAAATGTGAAATTTAAAATACACGCAGTGGCTTCCTTCTTTTTGTTTTAGAAACTATTTCTTGATCCCCATTTAATCCCCGAGTAGTTCTTTTTCTTTCAAAATATTCTCTGAAAAGGATATAACTCATCTGTTCCTCAAATATTAATGCGAAGAAAGGATGAGTCCTCCAGAGGGCATTTGCATATGGAACTGGAGGACTGTAGTTACAGAACTATACACACCACTTGTTTGGGTGTGGGAGTAGTGTTAGGGTTTAGCATCGAAAGAGCACCTTGGCAGATCGGGGGCCGAGGAATACAGCTAACAAGATTCTATTGGGAGATTATAATACTGTCTTATTTCTCTCCTAACAAATCCCCACACTAAAAGCTTGGAATTAAGAATTTATCATCTTGGGCTGGAGAGGTGGCTCAGTGGTTAAGAGCACTGACTGCTGTTCCAGAGGTCCTGAGTTCAATTCCCAGCAACCACATGGTGGCTCACAGCCATCTATAATAAGACCTGGCGCCCCCTTCTGGCTTGCGGGCACACATGGGAGGAATGTCGTACACATAATAAATAAATAAACAAACAAACAAACAAATAAATAAAAACAAAAAAAAAGAATTTATCATCTTGCAGTCTAGGAGACCGGAAACTGAGATGTCTTGACAGGGGTGTTTCTTGAGGTTTAGGGGAGAATTCACTTCCTTTTTCAGCTCCCAGTAGCTTTCCACAGCCTTGGCTGTGATTCTAAATCACGACTTTGCTTCCATCCTCCATCCATCCCTTCTTGATCCCAGACTCTCCGCTTCCCTAGTTAAGGGCTCTGTGGTTACCCTATGCCCATTTAGCCAGCCCCAGACAATCTCCCCATCTTAAGCGTATCTTAATTTAATCACATTGTCACAAACACTTCACGGTTCTAGACGTGGGCATCCTCGGAGCCATCATTCTTCCCTCCATGGGGCTCTGTGAGTGCGGCTCTCCACCAGCTCCTTTGTTAAAACTTACCACGTCTCATTATTTCTCTTGACATTTTGGGAATACCATAATTTGATAGTCTTTCTAAAGAGTAGACTGCCAGGCCAGGTGCGGAGTCACAGACCTATAATCCCAGTGCTAGGGAGGTAAAAGCAGGAGGGTCAGAAATCCAAAGACCTTAGTTTGTTCACTAACCTGAACCACAGGAGGCCTATCACTATTTATTTACTTTACTTTTTTGTTTGTTTGTTTGTAGACACAGAGTTTTTCTGTGTGACAGTCTGGCTATCCTGAAACTAGCGCCACTAGACCAGACTGGCCTTGAACTCACAGAACTCCTAGTCAATACTTTTTAAAAACAATCTCAGGTTGCTAAAACCAATTGGGTAATTTTCCTTATCAGATCTAATCTAGCAGGAAGGAATTTTATTCATTTGCATGTCTGAATTTATTGTTTACTTAGAGGGTGTCTTTGTGAAAAGGCTCTGGCAATAGCTCCAGTAGTTTCAATCTCTTTAAAATTTGAAAGGCAGAGGCCAAGTGAGGAGGCAGAGGCCCCAGTCAAGAACTTAAAAAAACTAGGTGGTGGTGGTGCACACATTTAATCCCAGCACTCGGGAGGCAGAGGCAGAGGCAGAGTGAGTTCCAGGACTGGCCCCATAGCTACTGAGAAACCCTGTCTCGAAAAACCAATTAAAAAAACAAAACAAAAAAACTTAAAAGAATGGATATTTTTGTTTTCCAAAAAGGACCAATGAAATCACCAGCGCTGTTCATGGAACCCAATTAGCAGCTGTTTTTTTTTCCCCCCTCCTTCCTGATGCCTAGGGAGCTTTCTTGTTCCTTGAGTTCCCACGTGACAGTCACTGGACCTTGTGGGTTAGTTTCCCAGTCTCCTTGAGGGAGATGGAGGCAGTCCAGTTCTGCCACTGGCATCTCGTGTTCATCAATGGCACTGTTGCTGGTTCTGACTCTGAAGGAATTGCTGTTTGTCTCCTTCCTGTCCACACAGCTTTGACCTACTATTATTTCCTCCTTCACATATCTGCTTTTTGTGGGTCTGTACCTTACTGATTTAGCAGGCATCTGTCCACCATAACCAGCTTCTGCTGAGGCCCAGCTAGATTTAACATAATTTGACAAACAAAAATGAACTTCCTAAGTTCACGCCAGCTTAATTGGCACCCGCAGTTGAAATAAAGATTTTTAGGGATTTTAGGACGAAGATGTCTTTAATGTTCTTGTTACTTACACTGTACTAGATACATAGATTTTGAAGAATACTGTTTGGTCCACATGTAGAATCCTTAAAGATGTAGAGGGGAATTTATGTCACTGACTCTAAGCGAACTTCCTAAGCTAGAGTAGGAGGCGGAATACTTCTGGGAAGGCTGTCCCTGGGAAATTCAAGGGTGGTTCTAAACAGTCTTGGACTGGGCCAGGAAAGAGAGGGCTCAGCGGCTAAAATCACTTGTGACTTTTGTGAAGGATTCTGGCTTAGCTCACAGCACCCAGGTGGAGGCTCACCCCTGTCTGCAACCCAGTTTTAGGGGAACTGATACCTAATGTTCTCTTCTGGCTTTTGAAGGCACAAGGCACATACATACATGCAGACAAAACACTCTTCTATATAAATTAATATCAAAGCTCCTTGGGCTCCTTTACACTGAGCAATCTTGTGACCCTGCCAGGCCGCACTTTATTCTTCTAATAGGGATAGTAGCTGCGGCAATCTTTCACAGAATGCAGAGAGATGGCGGTCTATTGCAAGGTTAAGGAACTGATACCCAGCAGGCAGGCTGTACTTTTGTATACTGACCTGTTGTTAAAGTTCAGTAAATTTTAGTTATGCTGAGGAGGGTCACAACAGGTCATGAAGCTACTACAATCATATAACCAGAGACAATGCGCCCACGTAAGAGCAGTGTGTACCCCAAGTTTCAATTAATTAGATCCAATGAGTATGCCTCAGACTTGCCAGCTGTTGAGGTATGGATTAGGTGTCTTAAATGTTCTCAGTTCGTAGCTGTAGTGTATAACGAAACGTGACCTAAAAACATTGCTTTAAAATAAAAACATTGAACTTGGGTCTTCTTGTTGTTGGCACCATCAATGCGCTTGCTTAGGACGTACCATATGCTCTTGAAGAAACCATTCCCAAAGATTTAAGGAGAGCTGAAGCGATAACAATAACTCCCGAGTTCTGCCTTTTTAAAAAGCGACCGAAGCTAGCTAAACTTTCTGCTCTCCACATTCCCACATCTTAAGAATTTGGATCTTGGAAGGAGTCCAACGTTCTCCATCCCCAGGATACAGCCAATGCTTGGAAGGGATGACCCGCTAGCGACGCTCGCCCAATGGGTAGGTGCCGTGTCACAGTCGGTGCTTCGGTGACCCTGTCCTGCCCGGCGGGGTGGCGAGAGTAGTCTTTCCCCAGCAGCGCTTCTGCTCGGACAACTGACCGCAGTACCTTCGGCCGCCTATCCAGAGCCCCAGGAACGCACATTTGGGAAACCGAGTCACAGAAGCTCAGCGACCGCCGCGGCTCTGCTCTTTCCCGGACCGGAGCAGGAGCAGCCGGCGGAGATTCCCGGGGTCTCTGGGCACCGCCTTCCTCGCCCGGCTCAACCACGTGCAGGGGGCGGGACAGGGGCGGGACAGGCCCACCCGGAGCTCCGCTCCCCGGCATCGCGCCTGCGATCGGAAGTGACGTCGGCGCAGAGCCATTTCCGGAAGGCCGAAACTAGGAAGAAACTTGGAGCCGCTGAGGTGCGGGTCGTAGTTGCCGCCACCGTGCCCCGTGGCCGGCGCCGTGCGGAGCTGTGGAGGCCTGGCCATGGGGCGGCGCCGGGCTCGCACGGCCTAGGCGTACGGTCTCCGCGGACGGGCCGGGTGCGTGTGGACGGGAGGCGGCGTGAGAGCCGCGGCCACTGCTGGCCTGGGCTCCGGCATCATGAACATCGACGTTGAGTTCCACATCCGACACAACTACCCCTGGAGCAAGTTGCCAGCTAACGTGAGACAGGTACGGCTCGGCCCTGCCCCGCCCAGCGGTCGCCTGCCCTGAGGACCGTCCCGGGATCGGGAAAACCTGGGCTCGGAGTGCTCGGTCGCCAGGAAGGCTGGAGTGATGTCCCTGCCGGACTCGCCCGGTTACCTCGGCTTGCAGACTTTATGAGCTAGGGAGGGACCTGCGCTCCTGAGATCTCAAAGAAAGCCCCTGGGCTCCAAAATTGTAAGGGTGGTGGAAGAAGGATGGGAACAGTGCGTTCAACGCAGGGTGACAGTTCAAACTCCTCTGTAGTGTGGGTGGGAGGTAGGGTGCGGATCTTTAGTCGTATGCATAACCGGAAGCATTTAAATTGGACCGTGCAAGATAAGGAATGAAGACCACCCCTCTCCCAGAGAGAGGGAAGAGCAGGTCTCCACCGAGTAGCGAGTCATCAAAGTTTGGAGGTATGTGTGTTGATGCATCGGGTGGCGTTTGTTGAATGTGTGAGGGTGGTCGCCGGTAAGGCCGCCAGGGGCAGTCAGGATCTGATTCGGAAGGGTATGTGTGCTTTGTGTTGGTGGACTTTGTCCTTTAGACAGACCGACTTTATAAGGAATGTGTCGACGGGAGCATGACCTGAGACTTTTGAAGTCTAACGCTTACGTTGACTGGCAGTTTTGCTCAGCTGTTTAACGGGTATTTATTGAGCACCTCCTAAGATGTTATGCCTGCTTTGGGGTACAGAGAGTTTGCAGCAGCCAAGAAGCCTGCCTCCCCACAGAGTGTACTAGTTTTAGCCAGGCCAGCCAGTAGACGGCCTGATAAATGAGTACAAACACGACAGGTGGCTGGAAGTCTTCAGAAGGGATGTGCCACCTGTAAGGGACGCACTGTCGCTGGCCGCTGTGTCTCTCAGTTCTATTGATTTCTGTTTCCTCTTGGTGATGGGCAACAGATGTGGTTTTGGAAAATATATGGAATAGTGGTGGTAATGGTTTTATGATTGTTTGATGTGGTTTGAGTCCCCGTTCTAGGGAATGAGTTAAGAGGTTCTGGTTAGTATCGCATGACAGAGAATGTCAAGGTGTGTTTCAGGGGTAAAGGTCTCTAGGATGTCAAAGAGTCGGTTTCTGAAACTTGAAAAGACAAGTCTAAACCTTTAGGAACAAGTTGCTCTTAAGTTTGAATGAGGGTTTGGCAGACAGTTTTGTGCTTTAGGTAAATATGTCTGAGACAAACCTGCAGACAACTAGAGTAAATTGTCCTCTGTGTTAAGTCATTAGATTATACCCAACTTAAACAATTGACTCTAATTAGTGTTGACAAAAGCCTCCTCCAACTCAAATGTGATTATTAAATGTAATTATAGGACAGTGCTAAAACTTAAGTCCCAATGTAAACGGATTTGTTTTTGTATGTGAAATCCCTGAAAGCACTCAGAGTAAGCGTGGCCTTCTTTTGTACAGACTTTCCCCAGCCTTCCCATGGTTTCCCGGAGTCAAGGTCCGCTTCAGATCACACCAGCTTTCTGTCTGGTCTCTGGCAGGACCTTCCCCTCCTCACACTACACTGAGTCCTCTCACTGCACTTCCGCTTTCTGTCATCACTAAGGCGTTTCCTAGCCCCCTAATTTCACAATAGTTGCCCTCAGCCATGTTGTCATCCTACTGTTATTTCTCATCCGTCATGTGGTCACCCTGCCATGTGCATTTTCTGGTTAGATTCTTTGTTAGGCTTTGTACCCTAAGCATCTCTATGCATGGTTGGTTGTTAGTAGCTGTTAGATGGAATGAGGCATCAGTTTGAAATACTTCCTAAATGGCTATAAAAATCTCAAATGTACTAAAAATGGGGATTTTTTTTTTTAGTCTGTGTGGAAAGAATGTGTATTTTGGTATTTTAAATACTAAGTATGTTTATGTGGTGATTTCCAGTAAGTTTTGGTGGGCTTCATTTGGAAATGACTCATTTCCCACTTCTGAAAGCTGAAGGAAGGAGACTCAGATAAAAAAAAAAAATCTTACAAGCCAGTTTTTTTTTTTTGTTCTTTGTTTTCCAACGTGGATGAGATGAGGAAAATACTCGTTTTATTCTATTGGTCACACTGACCTTTAGAAACGTTAAAGAGTTGTAGATGAGGCCTGAGCGTACACAGAGAGCCTTGGGTTCCATCCCTAGCACAGGAAAAAAAATGCAAGTCAGGCCATTGTTTTTAGGACTTTTCTGTAGTTAGCTAATATCAGATGTTCATTGTTTGACACAATGTGTAGTTCTTTTATTTAAAGTGAAGTCTTTTAATAGATCAATTTTTAAGACGTGGTTATTTTTATCTTTGTCCATCTACCTACCATCCATTCACCCATCCATCTGTCCATCTATCCATCCATCCGTCCGTCCGTCCGTCCATCCATCCATCCATCCATCTACCCATCCATCCATCTGTCCATCCATCCGTCCGTCCGTCCATCCAGTAGAAGGGTACCCGTTAGGATGCACACACTGAGGTGTGTAGGAGCCCTGGCTGCAGAAAGCCTGCTGTCAGGGTTATCTGCTGCATGGGGTGTGCTCTGTAGCTAGTGCTCATTTTCACATCACTGCTTCATTTCCTGTAGTTCCTCTTTTATGACGCCTGGCTTTGTCTGCTAGGCCTTCCCATTTGCAACCAAAACTGTCCTAGTGAAATGGCTGTTGTCCCTGTTCTGTCACCTAGGTCTGTAGTGGCAACAATGTTTTACAGTGGTGGGAGATTTGGAGAAGGGTAGAGTCAAAGAGTTGCTGAACAGATGTTTATGTACTCTTAGTTCACTGTAGTTAGGGGTTTGTGTGCATAGCATATATTGACTGATGGGGTTAATCGTGCTCCACACCTAGTCCTGAGCTCACATGGTGATGGAGTTTGCAGTCTCCAGTGACACTTCCCGGTAAATGTGATGGTAACTTAAAGACTGTCTTTGAACCAGAAGGCCAAAGCTTCCAGTTTGGAACTTGCTGTGATTGTAGTGGGATGGCACACTTGTGTACAACGAGCGTGTGTGGTGTCTCCTGGAGAGGTTTTGACCTGGCATCAGAGCTGCAGGAACCTTGGCAGATCCTTCTGAACCCTAAGTGAGCTTCTGTGTAGAGGGTGATGGGGTAGTCTCTCCACAGCGCACTCTCCTTCAACACTTGGGGTGCTACAGGTGGAAATAGCTGGAGTCTCTCCAGCTGTGATAGACTAATGCAATTTTCACATCATGTCACTGCATCCTCACCAGTGGAACAGTTTATTAAATTTAGAGGTTTTATTTATCTGATTGCAAAATGTAGGTGTATGGACATTTACTTTGGCTTTTACAAACCTATAAAAAATAACCAGCTGAATCCTCTAATCATTTTATCATTAAAGAGGTCTAGTTTAGGTTTATAGTGTGCTAGGAAAAAAAACTGTACCTGGTGATTAGAAGTGAGAGAGCAGTCAGATACTAAATTAACTTTATGGTCACACATGAATGTAATGTTAACTATGATTAAGCATGTTTAGTCTTTGCTTTCATAGTTTCAACTTTGAACTTAAAACACTGTGGACACAGCTAGAAAGTATTTTGTTTACTCCGTGCAGTTCTGTGTTTCTGTCTGTAGGATATGTATTGCTGATTCAATGACCACTGACTGAAAATATTTCAAAAGAGATGGTTTACCCCAAATGTGTACAGACTTATTTCTTACTATTACTCCATGGAAATAGAGTCTGTCAGCTTGTTAATAGATGTTAGAAGTAATCTCAAAATGATTAAAACTATGCAGGAACATGTGATGTGTACAGACGCTATTTGATGTAAGGACTGGATCATGTCTGGGTTTTGGTATTCTTAGGGTCGTAGCATCAGTGCTGTGAGGTGCTTCAGTGCCAGTGAAGAGCTGTATTTGAGAATGACAGGATGGTCCAGATGTTTTCTAGAGCAGAAGTAAGGGAATGGCATTTTACAGACACAGTTTTAGCACATTTGAAATGGACATTCTGTAGAAATCTTTATCTCCGGTAATTACGGTTCATTTCAAAATGACTGGGTTATATTCTTAAATTCACATAGGTATAGATGTGAGAAGCCCCTACCATCCACTCATCGGTCCATCTATCCATCTTTCTGTCCCACTTCAGTCTGGGATTTTCTGGAAGGAAATCTTTGTTAACAGCCTTGCTAACCAGTATAGTTGTATTCTTACACTGCTTTTTTATTTTATGTAACTATTTTGAGTAATTTAAGTAAATCATTTTAGAAAGGCACACTACAAAGAACATGCGGGATTTTGTTTTAATATCATAGTAGTAAAGTTAACATAATAAAACTTAAGAAAGTATTCCTTATTCAGTTCTGGCCATTAGAAATGCCAGGGTAAAATTAGGGGTCATGTTTTTTGTTTATGTGTAATTTTATGGTAGACAGAGTACTGTTGTTCATCTGGAAACTGTTTAAAAAGCCATGTGTAATTTCTTTTAGAGTCTTGGAAACTCACAGCGAGAGTATGAAAAGCAGGTTGTCTTATACAGTATCCGCAACCAGTTGCGCTACAGAAATAACCTAGGTAAGTGGAGATGCTCTTGTGCCGGGTGGAGATGACTGCTGCTGTCTTTTCATTTTGGTTTTCCGTGTGTACTGTACGGCTTTAACAACATTTGTACTGATTCCACATAATAACAATTCATACTGTGGAGTTTTCTAATTGTGAGGAAAATTCCTTTTTAGATTGCTGTTTATAGGTCTGTTTTCCCTATAATATCTTAGTCTTAATTCAGTGTCTTCTCTATCTGAGTGAGAGAATGCCAGAGGAGGAAAAAGACACTGGTTCTTGACCATTTTTTAAGACTCAGTTTTGTTTTGTCACCAGAACAACAGTAAGAAACCTGAGAAAGCTGGACATTTTCCTTTTCTTGCAGTTAAACATGTCAAGAAAGATGAACGCAAATACTATGAAGAGCTGCTGAAGTACAGTCGCGATCACCTCATGCTGTACCCTTACCACTTATCTGACATCATGGTGAAGGGCCTGAGGATAACACCGTTTGCATACTACACTGGGATCATGGAGGTTAGTTTCTAGTGGGAGTGACAGTTTACGGTGGGGTGGGACTCTGGGTCTGGGACACCTTGCAGTAGACCAGCAGCTTCCCCGTTCTCAGCTGTCATGGATGTTGTCTGTCCAGTTAGTGTGTATCAAGGATGGCTAGTCACAAGGTAGCTGAGGCACACACAGGGTTGCCATTATTGATGCTTTTATGTTGGAAGGGAGGCTGCTTGTATTCTATGTATTTGAAGGTGTTGTTTACCCTTTGTGCAGTTAGGTCACTAATTAGCTGTTTATACCAGCAGTTGGTACACTTATTGCTTGTAATCTATAAGATTGAAAATATGGGCTGCAGACTTGGCCAGTAAGATCAAGGAAATAGTATTTATCTGTCCACCTTGTATAAAAAAGTGACAGTGCAGACCCAGCTTTATAGATATAATACATGTCAGGAAGGAAAGTTGTTTCCATTGTCCTGGCTGTTAGTCTATTATTAACTTTTGGCTGGTTTGTACTTGGTTCTTGTTGAATAACACTTTTTTAAAAAAGTGAACTTTCTATAAAGATGGACACACATCTGCAGTATTTATTGACTGTTTATATTTGAGTGCTGCTTTTGGGCTCTCTGGACACTGGAAGAGCAGAGAAAAGCGTATGCACAGACAGGCTAAGCACCTGCAGTAGTGAGGAGGCTGGTGCCTTGTGTGAGTGTCTGGTGCCCTTGACTTGAGCTCCCTTCCTTAGCTCTATAAGCCCCTCCTCTGTGGCACATGTACAGTCTGGTCTTTCTCAGGTTCTCCATTGGCGTTCTGATGGTCCCTGTAGCGTGGTAGTGTAATGAAATAGTAACTGATGAGTTCCTCCCCCTGTCTCTTTTTCTTTTTCCGCTTTCCACGAGGTTTGGGGTAGAGCAGATAGAATTCTGTACATTTACCAGCTTCCATTTCAATTACATTCACCTGCTTACTCTTCTCTGGGCTTTGTTCTGAAATGATTGTCAAGTCTGGGTTGAAAATGGGTCTTCTCCAACAGTAAATAGTTGGATGGTGTTGGAGAAGATTGGAGTTGAAAAAGCCAGATACTAAGTTTAACTTGATACTAACTGAAATAGGAGCAAAGACTTGGAGGTAATTTAGAATCCTGCTTGGGAATGTGTATTTTCGATACTTGGTGATAGAGTTGACACACTATTGGCCTTCTCTCACGGTAGGAATGTAGGTAGAATCGGATATGAAGTGTGGAAAAACTAGAACCCTGAGCTCTAATAGAGACTACAGGGCAACTGTTTGGGACTCAGAGTGTTCTAAGAAACCTAGACCGAAAAGTGCAACCTTCATTTATTATGTTGAGGCCATAGGCTTAGTACCACAGTGGTGCATGCGTGTTTTAGGATGTCAGGTGTGACCCACTGTTTCCTGTTATAATAGTTGTTGCTCTGTTTGGCTGTAGCAATATATATCCTTTTATTTAGGAAAGTTACCTTTCATATTTTATATTTTTTCTTTTTCAAAGGACATCATGAACAGTGAGAAAAGTTATGATTCGTTGCCTAATTTTACTGCTGCTGACTGTGAGTACCCACTTGTTAAGGAGTAACATTTAGATTATGACTTTGTGTATGCATGCTGTCTATTAGGATTTTGTGTTTCTGACCTGAATGAAAATTGAGAGCAACATTATTAATGAGAACTTCATTGCACAATACAAATCAGATGTGAGGTGCCGGGCCGTGGTGGCACATGCCTTTAATCCCAGCAGAGGCAGAGGCAGGCGGATCTCTGTGAGTTGGAGGTCAGCCTGGTTGACAGTAAGTTCCAGGGCAGGCTCCAAAGCTACAGAGAAACCCGGTCTCGAAAAACTAAAAAAAAAAAAAAAAAAAAAGAAAGAAAGAAAGAAAGAAAAACACAATAAATCAGATGTGAGATTTAGCCTAATATCAATGGGAAGAATATTTTGCAGTCAGAAAGTTAGGACTAACCTGTCAGAGACCAGCTTCAACTAGTGTACCTCTTACCAGGGTAGGGACATGAGGATTAGAATAATAAGTATAGAGATTGAAGATGCGAGTGAAGGTAATAAAACAGAGACATAGGATGCACCGGGAAAGGAGTTCCAGTGAACACCGAAATCACTGGTGTTTGGTGTTTAATTGCCATTGACCTCCAAAAGGTAGGAGTAAGATAAAAACTTCATTAATACAACACAAAGAGATGAACAGACCAGTTGAAGGAATACATTCTCAGTGAAACATTCTCCTGCCAGAACAAGACTAATGCTCACACCCTAGACCAAAATAGAATTGTAGGCAAACCACTCCCTGGGTGGAATCCATAGTTATCTTCCTAAGGGAGAAGGGACTTAGTTGGATCCTTAGACCTTTGTTAAACAGATCTACTTCTTAATACCTGAAATACCTGGATGTTAGCCACACCTGTTGACAATAACCTTGAGAGAGCAGAACTTTCTGGTCTCAGTCAAGGTGGGACCTTTGTTTGAGATAGAAACAGACAATAACCTTGAAGGAACAGAAGTGAGTTCCAACTCTCTGTCCAGTAGTAGATAGAATAGGCTCCACACTAACCTTTATTCTAGAGAATGACATTCTTGCTATTCTATAGGCTGTTTGTCTGCTCATGGAAGGAGGACAGCCTGCTCACAGGAATCTTACCTTACAGTAGCGTGTAGAGTTCCACAAACATGCTTTGCTGTGTTTCACTATGCTTATCTTAGTGAGATTTTTATTTAACACGTGATGTTGTTCTGTACGCAAGAAACTTCTGCTAAAAAGCATAATTTTACTTCTTAAAACTGGGAGGACTTCTGCTTTTCAACATGTCCTCGTTAGCATTGTCAAACGTGACAACTTGGATTCATCTCTCCCAAAGTTGAGGTTTCATCTGTATTGTGTGATGAATTCTTTTTGATATTGATGGATAATGCCAGTCAGCAATTAAAACTATAAACAGGGAAGTTTTCCTAATGTCATTGAGTGTATACTCACATTTCAAGATGTATTAAAGGAAGGACTTACTTTCAGGTCTGCGGCTTCTTGGCATAGGAAGAAACCAGTATATTGACCTGATGAACCAGTGTAGATCTTCAAAGGTTGGTCATCCCTCTGTTCTTAGAGCTTCCTTGTCAGAACTAGATACCCAGAGTTTGGTTTAGAGTGGTAGAAATAATAGACTCTAACTTGAACCAGTTAGCGTGCATCTCATAGGAGCAGTGAACAGATTTTCAATGTTCACCAGGTTGTAGCTTAAGCAGCTAATGAGTTCTAACACGTAACATTTATTTTTAGAAGTTAATGTCTTTTTGCTTGTGTTTTTGTCCATTTTAGCTCCGGAATTCATTTAATGGGTAAAATAAGTTCACATTTTCAAATGCAGTTTTAGCTTCTGGGGTTTCATTTCATTTGTTTTTGGATTGAAGTCTAGGTTTAAGTAACTTATTTTAAAATAAATTAAGAGTGATTCTACAGTATCTAGATGAATTAGCAATTCAAACATGAAAATTTGAAAAGATTTAGCCTGTTGTAATGTCTTATGATGGTAGAAAAAAGTGGTGATTTGGATTGGTTGTAAATACTTAAATATTGTACTATTGCAGAAATTCTTCAGAAGGAAAACTGCCCGTGATCTTCTACCAATAAAGCCAGTGGAAATTGCCATCGAGGCATGGTGGGTGGTGCAGGCTGGATATATCACAGAAGATGACATCAAGGTAGAGATTGTTATAGACTAAAAGCAGAGGAAAAAGAAAAGATTAAAACCAGAATATTTATTTTTTAACTTATTTTTACAATTTTTAATTACATAATGTTTTAAAAGGTAACATTTGATTTTCCTGCAGAAAATCAAAGTAATTCAAAATGATCTTAGTAGATTAGATGGAGTTTGCAAAATCTATAATGGTGCAGGAGGCATTATTTGGTTTATGTACAGTAATTTGGGTTCTTAATTAATGGTCTCGTGTAAAGGGACATGATGTCATACCTAGCAGCCACAATAATATGGGTAACTCTGAGCATTGACTTTGTGCACATGTGCTGCACACTAATGTGACTATGTTCTTGACTCCTTTAAGGCTCATGACAACCCAAGGAGAAAGTATTGTTTGTGCTCCAGTTTGCAGATGAGGAAAGTGAACACAAAGCTGTTAACTAAATGACTCCAGTTATAGGGACAGAAAGGGTCCAAATTGATAGATACTCAGGTAGTCCAGTCCCTGTTGGGGTAGTAGTATCAAGATCAAAAGCAGTGTTATCCACAGAAGTTCATCCAAGCTAATTGAAGAAAGGGTAGAGACCATGGAATATCTGTGTAGGTTGAAGGATATAATGTGACCTTTTCACTCTTATTTATTTATTTATTTATTTGTCTTTGCGCTTCTGGAGGGCATTTTAAAGTGGGATATTTTGCTTCGCTGGAAGCCCTTCCCAATAGAGCTGTCAGCCTGTCATAATTTGTCCTAACTGCACCATTGTTGTCCAGGTAGAGTTTTTCTCAGTGAACTTTTTGATAAGGATTTGCTTTCATGTATCTGATTCCATTTTAAAGAAAAAGAATAAACATTGGTTTATCAGTGAGCATTTACTACCAACTGGCAGATGTTGGTATTTATGGTGATTTTGTTATCTAAACTGTCGGCACCTTAGTTTGGCAATTTAAGTGATGGTTATGTGCATAGTTTTATTGTTTAAATTCTAAGGTGATGAATGGCAATGATAAGGTTCATTTCATACACTAGTCAGTCATGGGTTCCAATGTGGATTACATTTTAGGAAACTTACAAATCAGTTAATTAGGACAGAAGTTAATTGAAATTATTATTTTTTTTCTTAGATATGCACTTTTCCTGAGAAAGGCGCTATTGATAAGATCATTGACTCAGGCCCTCAGCTCGCTGGGTCACTAGATTACAACGTAGTACACAGTAAGTGCTTATAAGCATGGTCTTCGTCAATGCAAAACCTTGTTTTAAACAGTTGATAATTGGGCTGAGGAGATGGCTTAGTGGTTAAGAGTACTGACTGCTCTTTCAGAAGACCTGGGTTCAATTCCCAGCACCAGCATGGCAGCTCATAACTGTCTGTAATTTCTGTTTCAGGGGATCTGACAACTATGTGCAGGCAAAACACCAATGCATATGAAATAAATAAGAAAAAAAAAGTGCAAGTCTTAAAAAAAAAACAGTTGGTAATTAATACCAATTGCTGTACTAGTCCAAATTGAGTCTGTTACCTAAGTCATGTTACTTGAAATATGATCTTAGTTCTTTATTATACAGACTTAGTCCTTATAATTACAGACTTACACAAATGAATGGTAAGAGATTTGTAGTTCAGAAACCATGTAAGAATTCAAGATTTAGAAAATCTAGTTAGTTCTCTTATACTATTTTCTTTTTCTTTATGTAGTGTTCAGTTTAAGACATAGAAAGCCAGTAATCAGACTTGTAGGAAAAAAACGTTATTTTATAGTGTCCCATCTAAAATAAGGTGCTTTTGTTTTTGTAGGTTTGTATAACAAAGGCTTTATTTATCTGGATGTGCCCATATCAGATGACAGTTGTATAGCTGGTAAGTCTGGGCTGCCGTTTTGTACTTTATTTTGAATACTGCTTAAAGTCAAATGGTATATATCACCTAATAAGTTTAACACAAATCATTCTGTAATTTTAGATATTTAGACTTTTTAAAGAAGATTTTTATTTTTACATTTAACCCATTGTGGTTTTATTATAAGTTCTTATTTCTCACATTATTTTGATATATATACTGTAATAAAATAGAACTTCAAAATAAATTTTCTACAATCCCAAGTAAAAGTACTTTTTTAAAATTTTAAATTTTGTAGTACTAACTTATAGTTAGATGTTTGTAATATGTTTTCTAGTGTCATTCAGCTATTGTCACTGTTTATGATTAATATTAGTGAGAAAGAATGTGAAGGGTCAGACTCCAGAGAATGACTCGATGTGGAGAAACAGATGGTAATTGAGCTGATCCCAGAAATATTGCCTCTTGTTTTTCAGGCTGGGGCACATCTTGATCTTTATTTGAGTTAGCATGTCAGGAGATTCATCCTCAGCCCAGTAATGCGTTGTAGACTGTATGCTTCTGTGAATTCTTTTTTTTTTGTTTTTGTTTTTTTTTAATATTTATTTATTATTTATTATGTATACAATAGTCTATCTGTGTGTATGCCGAAGGCCAGAAGAGGGCGCCAGACCTTATTACAGATGGTTGTGAGCCACCATGTGGTTGCTGGGAATTGAACTCAGGACCTTTAGAAGAGCAGGCAATGCTCTTAACCACTGAGCCATCTCTCCAGCCCCCTGCTTCTGTGAATTCTGTTGAAGCTTGGAGAGACAGTTAAAAAGAAGTGGAACACTAGCTTAGTTAATCTAGGTTTGAAGTTGGTGATGTATCAAGTGGAATAAGGTTTGAACTTGAAGACTGTTAACAAGGAAATGAGTCCTTGGAGACAGAAGTGGTGGTAGTACTTTTCTCACTATTGGAAATGTATAAGATTTATTCTAGTCCCTATTCTTACCCGATAAGTTGATTTGATTTGAGATTCACTCAGAAGTTGTATTAGTGGATTTGTTCGTTCAGTCTGTTTTAATTGCTGATGATTTAATATTGACTTTACAGTTTTAACATTGACTTCCTTTAGCACCTTTTTGTTTTGAGGTTCTAACATAGCCATAGCCTCGAACTTGGATGTAGCTGAGGCTGGCTCCTGTCTCTGCCTCCTGTGTGCCATGACACTGGACTGTATAGTAGCTCTTCAGTTCCCTGGAGAGAGCAGAGGAGGGTTGACTGGATGGCTTCTTCACTGCAGCAGCGTATTCTGCTCTGCCTCACTCAGTAGTTGGCAGTTAGCTGGTGCAGACAGATGCTTGACTCGGCTTGCATGTCACCTCTCTAGTCTGGTCCTTTTCTTGGAATAACCCACAAAGGTAAAGTTGGGTAAAGCCATCAAATTCAGCATGAAACATTCGCAAGCTATTTCAGAAGAGGCATTCCAGATGGTCCACAAAGATCTGGCCCTGTGGGAGGTGGACAGTCAAGTGCGGAGGAATGAACACTCTTAGAGGGGTGATTGTGGAGGACTCCAGTGTCAACACATTTATTCCGCTTTAAAGAAACACTGTTTTACAGCCTTTAATCCCAGCACTCAGGAGGCAGAGGCAGGTGGATCTCTGTGAGTTCGAGACCGGCTGGTTTACAGAGCTAGTTCCAGGATAGGCTCCAAACTTACAGAGAAACCCTATCTCGAAATACCAAAATAAAATACTGTTTTATTCTCAGGGAATTTTGTACAATTTTACTTAATCACATTCACCCCTTAAGCCTTCCCAGATCATCTCCCTCTCCCCCACTTGTCTGTCTGTCTGTCTTTCTTTTTTAAAGAAGATACTGTCTAACAGCAGATGTCCTGGTTCTTTGGCTCTTAGAGTCTTTTTTTCTACGTGTGTATTTTATGCTTCAATGCCTATATTTTTCTGTAACTCTTTAATGAAGTTCTTAAATAATATCAAAAAATTATATATGCACACTAAAAATTTGTAATAATTTGTCACATCTGTAGTCTGTCTGGAACATATTTTTATACTTGATATGAAATAATACTTCCATTCTCTTTGGATGGCCAATATCTTAAAAAAAAATACAACCCTGGATTCTGACCCATAGTTTAAGAAGCTGGGCTTTGGTTCGTACTTTTTATTTTAATGTAATACATGTTAGAAATGGATTTATATATCTATAAGGAGTTGTCTCATCCTGTTATCCTAGATATAAATTATATATTGAAATTCCTAACTTCTTGGTACCTTGGTATCTCCAAGGAAGGGATAATTACAAAACTGTACAACTTGTAGGGCTAGAAGACAAAATGGTGTATGTAATCTACTTGGTGGGTGTTAGCACCTAGCAAGCATTCATTCAGTAAATGCTTGCACATAGTGGTATTGTAGGATAAGAATTAAGTTTTCAAATAGGGAATTGCTAAAATATTTCTAAGAAGAAACCTTTAGTGTTTATTGTTGGGAATAATTTAGTGCCCTATGCACCCCACTTTTCCATGAGGTTTTATTTTTTTACATTTTATTTTATGTCCACGAGTGCATGTGCCGCAGGTGCATGCTGTGGAAGTCACAAGTGCAGCCTTCAGGACTCTTATTTTCTCCTTCTGCTGTGGGGCTGATTAAACTTAGGGGTTGTTGGGCTTGGCACCAAGTGCCTTCACCCAGTGAGCTATTTTGCCAGCCTGTTCCCCGGGGTATTTTAAAGGAGAAGTGTACACATGGAAGGATGTGAACGAACAAAAGCGTGCTCCTTGACTGTTAACTAGGCAGAGCTTGCTGGTCAGATCAAAGTGTCTAGATGAGAGAGATAGCTTGAGTGGGTGAGCATTCTACCATGGTTGGCCGCTTTGTGTGCTAAAGAAAGGATTGACCTCTGGCCACTGAGGAGGAGCAGATGTTAGTGACTTCTGCGGACTCCACTGTTTCCAAGGAGTATAAACTCTTTCCAACAGTCTTCTGTTGCTCACTTTCTTGGCCTATGAGGCATCAAAAGCACATACATCACAAACCTTTTGTAGGCTTATCTCTGTTCCCATGTGTTTTCACCAGGCTTGCACTGTCTAGTATTTCCTTCCTCAGTATTCTGAGAGTTCCATGTGAACCCTTTAGACAGCTCTGTGTAGATGGCGTGTGTGGCCTGGCCTGGGAACTTTGGAAAGGTTGCTATGGAGCGGAAGAAGTGCAGAAAAGCTCTGCTCTGTCTGAATGGTTTCTCTCTTTGCATAGGCATTTGAGTTATACTTTTTGTTTTATGAAAACTAGTGCCTGAGAAAAGTCTGTTTCGTTTATTTCAGTTCCTCCTCTGGAAGGTTTTGTAATGAATCGGGTACAAGGGGATTATTTTGAAACTCTACTCTATAAGATATTTGTGTCCATAGATGAGCACACTAATGTTGCAGAGGTAAGTGTGGCAAAAACATTTTTGAAAGGATATGCTTGATAATTCTGAGAATGGAACAGTAATTTTCACTTTTGTTTCCTAGCTTGCAAATGTCCTTGAGATAGACTTATCACTGGTGAAGGTATGTTATTTTCTACCTTTTATTCATAGTGTGAGTACTGGGTGGATTTTGCTAGTTGATTTTTTTTTTACCATGGTACATTACTGATCCTTATTGGCTGCATGAGGAAATCTGCATGGTAAAGATGGTTGCAGAAAGAAAGGGGGAGATGAGAAGCCCTGAGTCTGTTTTCCACCAGGTAGAATAGAGTCCTCACATTAATGTGGTCAGCAGGAGGTGGCCCGGTCAGTGGCCACACTGCACCTCTGTCCTCAGTAGAAGAGGGTTTAGGGATGGCGGTCCTGGCCAGACTGCTCTGCAGCTAAGATACGGAAATTCTTGCACGTCACCAGAGGCATAGTCTCTTACAGTGTATTTTTTCTCTACAGATATTCTGATGTTTGTTTTAATGCTAATTTTCCTTATATTCCTTTCAGAATGCTGTTTCAATGTATTGTCGATTGGGTTTTGCCCATAAGAAAGGACAAGTAATAAATCTGGATCAACTTCATTCATCATGGAAGAATGTTCCATCTGTGAACAGATTAAAGTAATTCGTTTATTCAATATGATAGTTTCCTTTTGAAAAGAATTTTGTATGCAGGAAATTTATTTATTCACTATGCCACTGAGGTGACTCTCAGTCTTCTCAGTGTGATGGACCTTCTGTATAATCTGATGAAAATCAAGAACGCTTTGTTTAGGACAATAGTACATATGATATTTTATAAAATGTGTAAGTTAGGAGAGCTTAGATTCCCTGAAGCCTATGCTTGAGCTCTAATTATAAAGCTTCCTCTCTGCGTCCAAAGCAATTTGAGAGCTCATCTCTCAACTTCACACTTGTGTATTGGCCTCTGTTCTGGTGGATTGTTCATAGTTATAAATACCAGCTTCAGTAGCTATGCTCATGTGAGATCATTTGTGTGATTTTTTTAAAAGTGAATGTATTCTTCATTAATAGGAGCACTTTAGACCCACAAAAGATGCTTTTATCATGGGATGGCGGGGAAAGTAGGAGTCCTGTGCAAGAAGCTTCTTCGGCTACTGACACTGATACAAATAGTCAAGAAGACCCAGGTTAGCAGCAACTCAGTTTAACTTAGAGCTTATCTGTAGGTCTGCCATCTTTCCAGACACAGCTCTCCGTCTCCTTTATAGCTCTGTGCCAGATTTCTTATTTAGTGTGTAGTCTGAGTCCTTCAGATACTGGGAACACTATGTAAGTCTTGAAGGGATAAGATAATAAGAATATGGCACTTGCCTTCTAGAAATTAAGTTAAGGGGGGAGGAGGTGAGCATAGCTCCCAGAACAAGCAATTGTGGTGTTTGGGGCTGCAAAGAAACAATAAAAAATAAAACAACAACAACAACAAAAAACCCACAACAAATAAAACCCCCACAAAAACCCAAAATTCCTTTACCTTTAGTAAGAGGCCATGGATTAGAGTGACTGCAAGTTCACTGGCCAGTTAGGGAAGGCCGTTTCAGTGCAGGGGAAAGTGCAGGCTAAGCCCAAAGGGAGACACACAGGCTCTAAAGTTGAGTGTAAAAGGAACCTGGGGTAGCTTTTCTCCTGTTTTGCTTGTTACCCAAGACTCACACTTATTGATTTGGCTATCGTCAAGAATTTTAATTCCTGGTTTTCAAGGAAATTAGCTGTACTAGTTTGCCCTTCTGTTGTTGTGATAAAATACCATGATTAAAAACAATTTGAGGAGGGAAAGGGTTTATATCCACTTACAACTTATAATTCATCAAGAAGGGAATCCAATGTAGTTGATTGTTTTATTACTCTTTACTCTTTGGGAGACCTGTCACCCACCTCCCAAATAAATACACACAGAGGCTTATTCTTTTTTATAAATGCCTGGCCTTAGCATGGCTTGTTTCTAGCAAGCTTTTCTTAACTTAAATTTTTCTATCTATCTTTTGCCTCTGGACTTTTACCTTTCTCTATTTCTGCATATCTTTCTTTACTTCTTACTCTGTGGCTTGCTGTGTAGCTGGGTAGCTAACCCCTGTTGTCCTCCTCTCTTTCTCTTGCTCCTCCTTTCTTCCCAGATTTCTCCTTTATTTATTCTCTCTGCCTGCCAGCTCCACCTATCCTTTCTCCTGTCGTGTTATTGGCTGTTCAGCTCTTTTTTTTAGACCAATCAGGTGTATTAGACAGACACAGTAAACACAGCTTCACAGAATTAAATAGATTCAACATAAAAGAATGTAGCACATCTTTGCATCATTAAAACAATTGTTCCACAGCATAAACAAATGTAACACATCTTAAATTAATATTCTACAACAAGTGAAGACAGGAACTCAAGCAGAAATCTGCAGACGAATTCAAGCAGAGACCATGGAGGAATGCTGCTTACTGGTTTACTCCTCAGGCTTATGTTCAGCTGCTTTCTTAAACTCCCCTGAACCACCTGCCTGAGCAGGGTGAATCCTCCCACGTCAGTCATTAATCAAGAAAATAAGCCCCAGACTTGTCAGTCTAAGGGAGACATTTTCTCAATTGAGGTTTCTCTTTTCCCAATGATTCTGGTTGTGTCAAGTTGACTAACTAGGACATTAACACAAATTTAAATGACTTTTAAAATTAAAATAATTTCCCCTCATCAGATGTTACTACATACCTGTAGTCATAGTACTGGGAAGCTGGATCCAGGAGGATTGGAATTCAAGGCCAGTTTGTGCTACATAGATTTGGGGTGACACCCAAGTCCTCACTGCTGATGTGAGAAGAATTTTTGATCAGATAAGGGTTGCCCCCAAGGCAACCCACCTACTTTGTGAGATGCCTGGGTTCAGTGGTCTGCCAGTCCCCCTTCATGCTAAAGAAAGTTAGAAAATTGACAAACTGTTCTACTGAGAACACTGCCTGTGTTGTCAGGGATTGTTTCCCAAATAAACCATATTTACTCAAAAAAAAAAAACTTGAATGTTTTAACACTAAAATATATATTTAATTAAGTTTATTTGGCTATCAGATAAACCTGAAGCAAAAAACTTATTTTAGATGATAAGCAAAACAAAGCATTCATTGCCTTGATTTGTATTCTGATTTTTTTTTCAGCTGACACAGCCAGTATAAGCAGTTTGAGTCTGTCCACTGGATATACAAAGCGTATTGCATTCTTATTTGACTCCACTCTTACTGCGTTTTTAATGATGGGAAATCTTTCACCAGTAAGTCAAATGTTTGTTTCAGTATAATGATGTTTAAAGTAGAGATGAGATATAAAATAATTCAGTCCTTTGTAAAAACTGTCTTTAAGTTCAGAGCTCTCCTGAAAGCAACCAACTGTGTCTTAGATTCATTCGAACAGTGAGAGTTTCAAGTGAGGACTGCTGTTGTAGGTGGAAGAACCAGCTGCACATGTTGTCTCTTTCAGTTTAAATAGATCAGAAAGCATAAGAAATGTTACTAGCATACAGAAGGAAGGAGAACCAGAGCTTTACTATTGTGCTTCTTTTTGCAGAACTTGAAAAGCCACGCAGTCACCATGTTTGAAGTAGGCAAACTCTCGGATGAGTCTCTGGACAGCTTCCTTATAGAACTAGAGAAGGTCAGTGCACCAGGGTGGCATGTCTGCAGTTTTCCTGCCTATTAGCTCAGGCTCCTTATTAACTCATAATTCTTGTCTGTGTTAGCCACATGGCTTGGTACCTTTTATCAGTGAGGCACGCTCTTCTTGCTTCCTCTTTGTCTGGGTGACAACTGCAGACTGAGTCTTCTTCCCAGAATTCTCCTGTTCTCGTTGCCCCACCTATACTTCCTGCCTGGCTGCTGGCCAATCAGTGTTTTATTAAAACAATACAGGTGACAAGACCATTGTCCCACAGCAGATATCTTAATATGTGTAATGTCTTTATTTTTTTCTAATCTTTCATTTTTTAAAATTTGGTATGACCGAGGTAAGTAAGCTCTGAGGCAGTTTTATTTAAGCTTTGTTCCTGTTGTTTTCAATCTGGAACAGTGCCCCTGATATGTCTGCTGTCACTGTCCCTGTTAGTGTCTTGAAGACATCAGCTGTATTTGCTTTTAACCCCCTTTTCCCTACTGGTAAGCCCAGCCTCACATGTTTTGTTGGTTCTTCTTTTCACTGAATGTTTTATTCTGTCCTCTGTTCTTTGCATGATGTGTTATCAGACCTCTCCTTGGCTAATAGTTTTGGTAGGTTTTTATGATTTAGTTAAGCATTTTGTATTTTAAATGTTCTATTTATAGAATTTGTAGTGATTTTATAATTTCTTTTTTTTTAAGATTTATTAATTTATTATGTACACAGTATTCAGCCTCCATGTATGCCTGCAAGCCAGAAGAGGGCACCAGATCTCATTACAGATGGTTGTGAGCCACCATGTGGTTGCTGGGAATTGAACTCAGGACCTCCGGAAGAGCAGTCCGTGCTCTTAACCTCTGAGCCATCTCTCCAGCCCCGATTTTATAATTTCTTTATGTCATAGTTTTTTACTATTCTATAGGATTTTTGCATTCATTACTGTAAAGAAATATGAAATAATCCTTACCAATTAGTTTCATGTCTTCAGTCTGTATTTCTTATTCCTCCAGATGTGTTGTAGTTATTGTTTTATTGCCTCACTGTACATTTTACGATCTCTTGATTACTCTTGTACATGTTTTGGATGAAGCAGAGCTAGCTTTTAGAACTTTTCTTTCTTTGAATCATATAGGGGATGTAGAGATTATAAATGTGCTGTTTAGCAGTTTATTTAATTGTTAAAATTGTTGTCCTTAGCATCCTTCCCATCACCTTCATAGATGGACTATGTGAGGAACTGTCTTAGGTTTTCTGTCGCAGTGAAGAGACACTGTGACCATGGCAACTCTTACAAGGAAAATATTTAATTGGGGGGACTATTTGCAGTTCAGAGATTCAGTTTTTTATCATCATGGCAGGGAGCATGGAGGCATGCAGGCAGATGTGGTGCTAGAGGAGTAGCTGAGGCAACAGGCAGTCGCCTGAGATACTGGACAGTATCCCGAGCATAGGAAACCTCAAAGCCCTCACCCCCACAGTGACACACTTCCTTCAAAAAGTCACACCTTCAATAGTGCCACTCCCTGTGAGATTATGGGGGAGCCAGTTATGTTCAAACTACCATAGAAACTTAGGCAAAATTGGTTAAGGTGATTTGTTTCAGTATTTCCTGGGCAAGTTTAATTACTTTTTGTTTGGGATTTTTGTTTTGTTTTGTTTTTGTAGTATCTTTATACACATGTTACATGATTATTAGGGTAGATGGTATGGTATTTTTATAAAAATTCTATTTTCTCTTGGCTTAGGTTCAGAGTACTGGTGAAGGAGAAGCACAGAGATACTTTGATCATGCGCTTACTCTGAGGAACACAATCCTCTTTCTGCGTCATAATAAAGATCTGGTTGCTCAGACTTCTCAGCCAGACCAGCCCAGTTACGGTAGGAAAATCAACTTGATTGTGAAGACACAACCATGAACATCTTTCCCAGATGTTAGCAGACCGTGCTCCTCATCTCATCAGCACGTTTCAGACATTTTGTGGCCAGCAGATAGGGTTGTAGCTAGAACTGGCTCTCTGGTGCCCTTGTGCCGTCTCTGTCCTCCTTTTGCTTTCTTCTAATTACTAACCTGTTGTATTTGAATCTGCTTGGACTTAGTGTTCATTCAAGAAGCTGTTGGACTTTAAATTTCACTAGTTGACCGACATAAAACAAGCTCAGTGTTTTTTGAAGCTTCCTCAGCTCATAATGCTTTGTCTGGATGTGATTTTTATATTTTTTTCTCTTACAAGTCTTCTGCGTATATATTATGGTTTCCAATGTTACATTGTTACAGGATTTCTGTGTGTGTGAACGTGTTTCTTTGTGTCTATATGTTTCTTGTGCTTTTTCTTCTTTTAGTTTGTTTTGTCCTATTCCAGTTTTTATCTTATTTTATTATTATTTTAAGATGCCTGTTTACATAGAAAGGATGTAGATTTGGGTGGGTAGAGAGTTGAGAGCAAACTGTAATCAGAACATATTATATGAACAAAAAAACTATTTAAAAAAAATCTTTCCAGTGTGTGAGAGACCAGGGTCCTGGTACTAGCTATGCTCGGAGCATCTTTCCAGTGTGTGAGAGACCAGGGTCCTGGTACTAGCTATGCTCGGAGCATCTTTGTACTTTCAGTGGGCTCTACACTTCTTTAGAAGCATTCTTATTTGAAGGGGGAAGTGGCTCACTGAGCCTCTGAAGTTAGTTTCACTCTTAAAATATGTCCTTCAGAGAGCAGTAGGATTTTTTTAAGTGTGTCTGTCAGAAGACAACTTTTTCATGAGTCAGTTCTGTCCTCCTTTGTGGGCTTTGGGGTCAGACTCAGGTAGTCAGGCTTATGCAGCAGGTACTGTTCATTACCTGCATAGCTGTCTTCTAGCCCTAGAGAGCAATAGGGTGTGCATGCTGAGCCCTTGCTTTATGGACCAGCAATTTGAGCACAAGTTTCTAACTGGGGGATGCTTTACTCCATGCTAGGATCAGACCCGAGCTGTGAGTCTCTCTAGAGTAGCGGTTCTCAACCTTCCTAATGCTGCAGCCCTGTAATCAATTTCTCTCTTGGTGACCCCACCAGAATATCATTTTCACAGCTACTTCATAACTGTAGTTTTGCTACTGTTAGTAAATATCTGTGTTTTCTGATGGTCGTAGGCAGTCCTGTGAAAGGGTCGAGAACCATGGCTCTAGAGATTGCAGTCTGGGGGAGAGAAGACCCAGCGTTCCTTGGCACTTTGGCTCTCAGAATAAACTGCAGAGCACTTGGGGTGGGACTAGAATGAACAGCACGGTTCCTTAAAGAGAGAAACTCCACTAGAAGACAGCCATCTTTCTAGACCAAAAACTTTAGCTTTAAATCTTAAAAATGTCTTGGTGGGTCTTGTTAGAAACTTGGTACTTTAGGGTAGTTATTGTACCTTTAAAAAATTGTAAGTATTGAAGCAGCATGCACAGGGCCTGCAGAAGTCTATGCCAGGTCTTCTGTATAAATATCATGGCTTGCAGTTTTAGTGTCTTTATGGGATTTCCTAGTGTGCAAATGAGTGGGTCTTTAATGCTCTTTTGTTTTCTTGAGACAGGGTTTCTCTGTAGTTTTGGAGCCTGTCCTAGACCTAGCTCTTGTAGACCAGGCTGGCCTTGAACTCACAGAGATCCATCTACCTTTGCCTCCTGAGTGCTGGGATTAAAAGCATGCGCCACCTGGATGAGTCTTTGATCCTTATGCCTTCTCTTGGACTCTTTTTGTTCTTTTTGTCTTGTTCAATTCCGATGTGATAGGTTTTGTTTTATCTTATTATATTTTATTTTGTTATGTTTTATTATTATCTCTTAGAAGCCCATTCTTTTCTACTGAGAGACAGAAAGGGGGTGAATGTGGATGGGAGATTTGGGGAGAAACTGGGAGGAGTAGGAGTAGGCACTAATATTATGTGAGGAAATAACCTATTTTCAATAAAAAGGAAAAAAACAAGTCTTAAAGTAGTGATCAGCAGTTTATCTTCAACATTTTTGTTTCACATGGTCAAATCTTTATTCCTTATGTGCTTAACTGTAACTTAGGTTTTCCCCTGGATCTCTTACGCTGCGAAAGCCTTCTTGGTTTGGATCCAGCAACTTGCAGCAGAGTTCTAAACAAAAATTACTCACTGCTTGTTTCCATGGCTCCTCTTACCAATGAGATCCGGCCAGTCAGCAGCTGCACCCCTCAGGTAATGACTCACTTGAGGACCCAGATGGGAATGTCATTATTTTATAAGGAAACAGGTCAGTTTTCTGTTGTAAGATGCTGCCATAGTCAAGTTGTGAAGTATAATTGGTATATTTAGCTTGTTTATCACTAATTGACTTGTGACACATTAGATTAAAAATGTATCCATGTGAAGTATTTTAAGAGAACATTTTGAATGCTCCAGAAAGCTTGCATGAATTTAATTAGGAAAATAATCAGCTATTTCAGAATAATAGAGTTGTGATGCTTAAGTTAGCTGAGAAGAAAAGACAGACCTTGCAAGCTAAAACTTTGTAGTTAACCATAGAACTCTTCAGAATGACTACTGGTCTTTGGTTTTGAAGATGTGTGTCTTTATATACTCAGCAAGGAAGATGTACCTGTAACATTTTCAGAGAGTGGAGGTCATACTACTGTGCAGTAGTCCATCCTGCCTGGATTCCTCAGTGGGCAGGGCTCGGTGATAGAGAAGGGAGGAAGGAGTTTTGGTACCAAATTTGTTTTTGGTACCTGTGTGCTCTAGCTGCCACAGATCATTCACTCCATGCCAAAATTTTGTTCTTGTGTTAACAGCAATGGTCCTGGATTTGCTTTTTACCAACCTTTTATATAATTCTTTACACTCCCTTCTATTAACTCAGTGTGTTCACACAGTAGAAATCTGTGAACTGTTGGCACAAATGGGAAAATGGATGGAGGGGACATCATCCTGCTTCTAAAAAACACCATGTGGTTGATGATGATGAGAACTACTAATGTAATGCAGAACTTATTTACCAGGCACTATTTAAGCAGCTGCACAGCATCTCCATGTGGTGGCTACTCTCTTGTGCCTTTGTAGCTGGAGCAAGTGAGGCACTTTCAGAGTGCAAGGAACTTCACTAAGGTGCTGTATCTGGAGGGATGACACCTAGCCTTAGCCCGAGGCAGGCCACTCCAAAGTTCAGTCTGTCAACAGTGCAGTGATAGTGGTGTGTCTTCGTAATCCCAGTATGAAGAAAAATCTATTTTACTGGGTTAATTAGTGTTTATCTTCATAAGAAAATTATCATTAAAATATGTATGAAGCATTTGCTACTTAAAAGATTATACTTGGTCATTTTTGAAATTTGACTCTTTAGATAAGTATTATAGCTTTATCTTACCTATTTTATGATTATAGCATATTGGACCAGCTATCCCAGAAGTGAGTTCTGTCTGGTTTAAGTTGTATATTTACCATGTCACTGGGCAAGGACCACCATCTCTTTTATTGTCCAAAGGTACAAGACTTCGGAAACTGCCAGATATATTCCAGGTACGTGTGTGAGGTTTTTCTCCTCTTCTTGCATGCCATTCTGTTCTGTTGAGGATTGAACCCAGGGCCTCATGCATGTTGGGAAAGCACTGTGAGCTGTGTTAAGGGAAAATAGAAATTGCTGGGCAGTATTAGGTCACTTTCTTAATTTTCCCCTTCTTTTAAAGTGCCATTTCTTATGTTTTAGGGTTATGATCGGTTACTTATAACTTCTTGGGGCCATGATCCCGGGGTAGTTCCTACATCAAACGTGCTTACGATGCTGAATGATGCTTTAACACATTCTGCAGTGCTCATTCAGGTATGTTTTGTCTCGTTTGCGACAAAGTAAACTTAGGTTTTTATCACTTATATCACACAGTCCGTGTGCAGCTAAAATGTAGTTAGATGACATTTACTTCAAAGTTGAGTCGCAAGGACTTGTGTGCAGGACCATTTTTGTGGAGGTAGTAGAACAAAGTGAATTTGAACACTTTAATCGAAGCTTCATTGTTCTACAGCAGTCTTTTGTTTTTTTAAAAAATACTTTATTGATATGTATTTCACATGGTATAATTAAGCAGTTTAAATTGTACAGTTCAGTGGATTTTAGTTTATTTGCAGATTTATATAGCTATCAACTCAACTTTAGAGTATTTTTATCCACTCAGAAATGAACCCTGTTCTGTTCATCTGTTTTTCACTCTAACCCCTGTCCGCCATTCTTCCTAAACCTAAATAACATTGCTATCTCTACATTTGCATAGCTTATTTTGGACATTTTATATATATGGCCCATGATGTGCTGGATTTTGGACATGTTGGGAATCAGGTCATTGAAAATATTCTGAAATTCAAATAACAGGCCGCAGGAGAGAGATGACTGACGTATTAGCATATAGGTGGTAGATGAATCCTTGAGAACATAAAATTAGGGAAAATGTGTGGTAGGGATGGTGAGAGGAGGTGACAAACGGTGGGATGTGCTGGACGCGGACTTAAGTGAGACTGTCCAAATTCACCTCTCGGTTCCACTGCTGATTGCTGTCTCAGGCAAGGTAAATGACCTCTTTGAATTCCGATATGTAGCTGTCAGTTGGAGGTGATAGAAACCCCTGTCTCTCTCAGGTTGTTGAAGAAATTGCCTGAGATGGATAATTGGCATAAAGTGCTTTGCACTGTGCCTGACACAGGGCAGGCTGTGAGGATGTCATGTTTGGTGGTGATGAGGTGAGGCAGCTGTGGGCATTGCTTCCTCTTTTGTTACTGTTGTGACCTACCACTCACTTCTTTGAGTGTTGTTTTCCTTATCTATGAAGTAAGCATGATTGCCAAGGTCCATTATACATGTAATATTTAATAAGTCAGGGCAAATAATAGATATTTTGCTGTTGTTGTTTTGGTATCATAGAATATGAATAGGAAAAGATGGGTTTGTTAGTTACTTTCCTCTTTGCTGCAATGAAGTGCCAGGCCAAAGCAACCTGAAAAGGTTTGTTGTAGCTCACAGCTTGAAGGGAAGTGCGCTGCCGGGAGCTGTGGTAACGGGGGCAGGAGGTTGATCACACCACCCACTACCCCTAGTGGGAGGTGAGTGCTTGTTCTCATGGGGCGTGGCTTCCCATCCCAGTTAACCTCACTGATGTGCTCCCAAAGTTGTCTCCTCGGTCCTGTCAGACTGGTGATAGAAACTATTGTTGTAGGTAAACCATTTGCTGGTAAAGTATCTGTTCACAAGTTTTGCTCTTGCTAGAAAAGAACACCTCCTTTAAAGAAAAATTTCCCTTGTTGAAATTTGAAAAATACTACAATTAAGATTTTTAATAAAACTACAATTTTATTTACAACTTTGTAGTTTTGAGTTAAATCATAAATATCTGTGGAATAGATGAGACGTCTGTCATAATCACATTATAAACTGTCTAAATGAGTGTGCTTTCATAGTTAGTGTGCTTGCAATGGAGTGTAATTTCTTGGATGTACCGGTCCTATCCCCCTTCCTCTCTGTACTCTTTGTAGACTTTCCCTCTCTCTCCCACTTCCTTTTCTTCACTCTTCCTTTGTGAGCCATTTTTACATAGCCTGGGGTGGCCTTTTTAACTTGATGTGCACCTCTTTTCTCTGCCTCCCAAATCTGGCATCACAGGTGTCTGCATCTGTTTTAGTTGCTTTGCTGTTGCTGTGATTAAACACACTGACCAAAAGCAACTTGGGGGAGGCAAGGGTTTATTTGGATTACACTTCCAGGTCACAGTCCATCATTGAGGAAAGTCAGGGTAATAACAAAAGGAGGACGTAGGGAAACACTGAGTACTGACTTGCTCACTGTCTGTGTTCAGCGAGCTTTCTTACACAGTGGGCCAGGCCCTCCTACATCAGTTAGCAGTCAAGATAATGCCCCAGTTTGGTGGAGGCCGTCCTTCACTTGAGGTTTCTTTTTCCAAGGTGACTTTATGTTGTGTCAGGTCAATAGTAAAAAAACCGACACAACACCACGCTCAACTACATCAGTATTTCTTTAGTTTAAATAATAGGTCTCCTTTGAGGGTAAAAAAAAATGTATATATCCCAAATATTTACTTAAATTCTCCATTATAATAATGCTGGATATATGTTAATATAAGATTAAAATTTTCATGTTTATTGTTCTTATGCCACTTTAAACTCTGGGAACTCAAGACAAAATTTTGAAACAAATGATTAATTGAATGTGATAGATGAATAATTTGTTATGTGGTTTCTTGCATGCTGTAACAATTGCTGTGCTTTTATATCTGCAACTGCCCTGTTGTGTAAGGAAAACACTGTTTCCTTGAAGTCATTCACCACCTCTAGCTCTTACCAACCCCTTTTTCACATAGATCACTGAATCTTGAAGGGAGGTGTGTAATATGTATGTCCCACTTAGGACTGAGCCTCCAAAGTCTTTATTCTCTCACATTGGCTGGTTGAGAGTCTCCGTGTTACTGCCATCTACTGCAAGAAGTTGTTTCTGAGGGTTGGGAGATGCACTGATTTGTATGGATATGCATTAAAGTCAAAGGAGTTGTTTTGTTGCTGTTAATCATTTAGCAGAGTGATAGTTCTCTCCTAAAGTCTGTGACCTTGGCCTCTTGACCACATTAACAGTGCCAAGTATCGGTTCCATTTCATGAAGCAGGACTTAAATCCAATCAGAAAATGGTTGGTTACGCCCTAACATTTGTGACACTATTGGACCAGTGGGCATGTCATGCCTGGCAAGTCATTACTGTAACCCACAGTATTCACATCTGGGTAAGGATCTTTTGGTGTGTAGCCCTTTCCAGTAGAGCTGAAACTTCTGGGTCTGTACCCACTTGGGTTTTCAATGCTCTATGATTTAAGTAAGTAGTATCTTCAGCAATAGGGTCTCATGTCAGTTTCTAGAGGGTAACCAAGAGCATTGGTGGTAACTTGTTATATTTGGGGATCTGTGGGACTCCATTAGCCAAGAACTCAGAAAGAAGTAACTCATTCCTGGTTCCGGAGATGAGGGGACAAACTGTGCCCCAACAGAGGAAATGGGTTTTAAATGTTTTAAGTCACTCACACACTTCAGTGGTAAAGCAGTAAAGATGCACAGAGAAAAGTCACTTTCCTTTTCATCCTCTCTACCTAGTTTCCAAATCTCGTCTTTCATATAAGATGATTCCTTTATCTTCAGCTGTGTCCGATGTGCGGATGCAAGCTAGATGTTCCCTGTACTTCTTTGTTTGGTGATTTGAGATTCAGTTGAGATTGTAGAGAGTTCTCCTTTCATTTTTGCAGCTGAACTGAAAATATATACCATAATTTTAACCAGTCCTCTGTTGTGAGGCATTTTGGTTGCTCTGGTATATGTAATTATTAGCAAGTATCTCTGGAAGCCTATCCTTTCTGTGTAGGAGTTTGAGTTTTGTATCCCAGTTAGAGTCTTTGCCTTCCTGTTTTCCTCAGAACTGTGGCTGAGCTATGAGCATGCACTCCAGTTCTCACTTGGCTCAGGCCTGTCTGGTTTGCCTGTTAATTAGTTAGCCTTCTTAATTCCTTTTTCTTTTCCTATTCTGTTTGAAAAATACTGTCCAAGAAGTGAAAAATACAAGATTGCCAAAGACATCTCTATAAAATGTCATTGTAGAATGTGCCATGATGTGGCACAACTTTCTTTATTGTCTTCAGTTATTAGAAATGTTGGTTTCTCATACACCTTTCCACGTGCATTTCTTTCTGTTTGTAGGGACATGGTTTGCATGGGGTAGGAGAAATTGTCCATATACCGTTTCCATTCGATGAAGCAGAGCTGCAAGGAGGTACCTTTTGAATTCTATCCATTTGACTTTATCATTATTCCTGACAATAATTGGTGGAAACTGACAGGAAGTGTGTTTTTAAAAATTTTAAATTCTGTGTTTTTACCCTTTTGCCGCTCAAGAGTTGGTAGTTTTCAGTTGTGTGAGTTTCTGCCAATGAACTGTTAGCCAGTTAGAGCCTTTGAAAGGCCCGTGTGCCTTAGAGATGAAGAGAGTAAGCACATAATTTTCTAGGGGAAGATTTTCTGTATGTGGAGCCTTTTAGTCGTTTTCTTTTATCGTTGGTTTATTTAGAGACTGGGAGAGAAGACAAGCTACAGGAACAATTTATGCTTGGAGAGTTTAACACATTCTTTTTCAGAGTACTTGAGGCAAAGTTTATGCTGTGTGCACATGGTTCTACGTGTGTGTATGTGTGTGTGTGTGTGTGTATAGATGACCTTGTTCTTTAGTCCTCTAGTTCTCTAAATATTTTTTTAAATATTTATTTATTTATTATGTATACAATAATCTGTCTGTGTGTCTGCCTGCAGCTAGAACAGGGCATCAGATCTCATTTCAGATGGTTGTGAGCCACCGTGTGGTTGCTGGGAATTGAACTCAGGACCTTTGGAAGAGCAGCCAATGCTCTTAACTGCTGAGCCATCTCTCCAGCTCCCTAGTTCTCTAAATTCTAAGGACAAAATTTTAGTCTTGAAGATGCCAGATGCCAGACACTGACATCAGGATCTTTTGTTTTGCAAAAGCTCAAGAACTGATTAGTGGGAGCTTGTGTGGCATCTTGATTAAATGTTTACAGAAAAGAACTATCTTATATTTTTTTCATTGGAATGGTCTTATTTAATATTTAAAAGTAGTTCAGAAATAGTAAAATATGCATTAGTTTTTTGGTGTTATGTTGTATGATAAAGCTTCATTAATGTGTTGTTATTGGTTTGTTCCTAGAGTTTACCCGTGCCAGTATGGGTGTTCATAAAGCACTGCAGATTTTGAGGAACAAAGTGGACTTACAACATTTCTGTGGCTATGTCACCATGTTGAATGCTTCTAGCCAGCTCACAAGTAGAAAGCTCAGTGATGCTTCTGATGAGAGAGGTCAGTCACTGTTTGGGTCTCTGGATAAAACAACTGGGTTTGAGTTTAGCACAGTCTTTATGTGTAAACCACAGCAAATCTCTGTGGAAATGTTGAGTTACTTAATAGTTTTCATGAGGAGATAAGAACATGACCTTGTATGGGATACAGAAAGGCTGTTGGCTCAGCCTTTTACCGTTGCCTCTATGTTCATAGACATTGAATCAAATTAGCTTTAGGAAGTAATGATTTTAAAACATTTCTAAAATAGGCTTAATAATTTATAGATTCCACAAATTAAATTTTGGAAATGACTTTTTTTTTTAATTGAAAAAATTTTTGCCTCCTCCCCGCCTCCCATTTCCTTCCCCCTCCCTCCACTCCTCCCCCTCCCTCCACTCCTCTCCCCCTCCTCCCATTTCCCTCCCCCTCCCTCTCCAGTCCAAAGAGCAATCAGGGTTCCCTGCCCTGTGGGAAGTCCAAGGTCCTCCCCCCTCCATCCTGGAAATGACTCTTATATTAATTTCTGTCTCCTTTGTTTTTGAAAACAAGTTATATGTGCATATATGTGTGCATTATAGCTGGGTGCTGGGGGAAGCTAGAAGACAATGTTGGTTCCTGTGGAATCGGAGTTGAAGGCAATTGTGAGTTTATGTAGGTGCTGGGACTCGAACCCAGGTCAGATCCTAGTAGTTAGCATTTTTCTTGTGACTATGTACCTGGGTTTCCTTACCTTTCTCTTCAGCCCCCTTCTTTTTTAGTTCTCAGTTGAGTCTGAATCTTGATATCTTAAAGCACACATTGCAAGCATTTCCCGTGTAGTTTTTCTTCCTTCTTCTGCCTCTAGATCGTCCTGCATGTCCATAGCAGATCAGCTCTTGCTTAGCAGTTGTTTCTGCTCTGGATGGTGCTGTGTATAGCTTTGCTTGCCATGGTGCCAGCTCTCATCACCGACCCTGGAAATATCAAGTGACTGTCACTGGTTGACTGTATTCATGATTCTTTCAGTTTAAAATCCCAAGGAAGTGTGGTTAGTGGTCAGCCAGTGTCTCCTTTTGAGTTTCGGATGGGTGTACTACAGTTCAGTTTTTAAAGTCATTTATTCCACAGATGTTTAAACAGCAATTAACTGTTTTAAGTTCTGAAGTCATTTAATTTTTTAAGTTTAATTTCAGTTCAAAGAGTAAAACCTGACTAGGGAAAATTAATGAATCTGTCTGTACTGCATAGTTAAAAGCTGAGAGGGTGGGACTGCTTGGCATATATGTGGGAGACAGAGAAGGCTATCTCCACCTCGGGAGCCATGGGGAATGCATCTTAAAAAAGACAGAGTTTGAACTGAACTTTGAAAAGTGAGAAGTTAGTCAAAAGATGATTGCTGGGGTTTTTTGTTGTTTGTTTGTTTTTGTTGTTGTTTTAAGGGAATTAGGAAGCAGGAAATAGTGTGGTTCCTTTTAGCCGAAAGAGGGGAGTTGTTGGTGAATAGATGAGTACAGGAGGTCGCTAGGGATCTCATTGCTGAAGGAGAGAGGGGTCAGAAAGGAAGTTTGAAGGATATGTAGACTGTGTGTTTCTGAAGGAGAGAGGGGTCAGAAAGGAAGTTTGAAGGATATGTAGACTGTGTGTTTCTGAAGGAGAGAGGGGTCAGAAAGGAACTTTGAAGGATATGTAGACTGTGTTTCTGAAGGAGAGAGGGGTCAGAAAGGAAGTTTGAAGGATATGTAGACTGTGTTTCTGAAGGAGAGAGGGGTCAGAAAGGAAGTTTGAAGGATATGTAGACTGTGTTTCTGAAGGAGAGAGGGGTTCAGAAAGGAAGTTTGAAGGATATTTAGACTGTGTGTTTTTGAAGGATAGAGGGGTTCAGAAAGGAAGTTTGAAGGATATGTAGACTGTGTGTTTCTGGGCATGACCTTAAGGATAAAGGAAGTAGAAGTCTGAACTTGTGTTCTGCTTTGTGACTTGGGATTTTTTAGGTCATGGTTGATTTTACCCTTGGGAAATTTTACACATTTGGTAAGATACTTAGTATTGATGGCTATCAAGAGCATCACTGGGTAAGATACTTCGTATTGATGGCTACCAAGAGTGTCACTGGGTATCAGTCACATCCTTTTCACACTCACAAACTTTCTCTAGATGTTCATTAGATGTCTACCGCTTAAACCAAAGATGAGTCAGCTTTTTAACCTATTTCCCATTTTTTAAAATCTTTTAATGAGAAGGGAGAAAGAGTAAATGGTATCTGTGTAACAACTTTTGGTCGTAACTCTATATAGATTATGTGGCTGACTGTGGAGAGCTGTTGTGTCTTGGGCTGCCCTTAACAGATTTTTTTTTTCTTCTTTTAGTTTTACTTTTTTATTGTTTGATAATTGATTTTTTTTTTCTGTCATTATTTCTTGGAGTTTTCTTTGTATTGACTTCTGCTGAGTACTAGAATCCTCACAGTGTTATATCCTTTAAATTATCAGGTGAACCTGATTTGGCTTCTGGTTCAGATGTAAATGGGAGTACAGAGTCATTTGAAATGGTCATTGAGGAAGCTACTACAGATTCAGCAATAAAACAAAACTCTGGTAAGATGTTAAAAATCTTCTGCAACTTTATTAGGTGTCTTTCTGGGGCTTACCTTTTCTGCTAAACTCTTTGCATGTTGTTTTATTATTTCTAGTGGAGTTTTGTGTTAATGTGATACTTCTAAGAAACATGTTTATACATTTAGAATAATTGAAATAATATAGCTGAGAACAGTGACTTCAGTTTCACTATTTTTATGATAAATACTCAGATTCATTTTATCATCTTGCAGATGTCCTCTTATATCCCTTTTGAGCAAATGATTATCTGGAACATTTAATGAAAAGCTATGTATCTTTTCCCCAGACATATGTACATAATCAAAAGACATTCTCTTCCACTTTGAGATTGATGACCCTGTTTAAGTCCATCCCTGGTCGAATTCACTAGTGGGTGCCATGAGGGTAGGAGGGCTCTAGGGGGCTCAGTTTAGAAGACCTTGCTGCTCATACAGAATATGTAAGTATATAATTTTCAGTCTGTCTGTGTTGTTTTTAGGAACCACAGCTGAAGCAGATTGGGTTCCTCTTGAACTGTGTTTTGGGATTCCGTTGTTCAGTTCTGAATTAAACCGAAAAGTTTGTCAGAAAATAGCAACACATGGCCTTTGCAGAAAAGAGAGGTAAGGGGCCGTCTTCTCCATCTTAGTTTTTAGGCTGCCATCTCTGTTTCTCTAGCTTGAATCTTTGTTAATCCAAACATTGTCTTAGGATTTCAATTACTGTGAAGAGACATCATGACCACGGCAACTTTTCCAAAGGAAAACATTTATTTAATTGGGTGGCTTACCTTTCAGAGGTTCAGTCCATTATCATCATGGTGGGACATGGCAACATGCAGGTAGACATGGTGCAGGGGAAGGAACTGAGAGTTCTACATCTTTATATGCGGGTAACAGGAAGTGGTCTGACTCAATGGGAATAGCTTGAGCATAGGAGACCTCAAAGCCCACCCCCACAGTGACATACTTCCTCCAACAAGGCCACTCCTACTCCAGCTAACTTACATTAGAATTCTGGTGACTTTCTAAATTTTTTGTCTATCTGATATATTGTTTTAAAATTCATGTTTTGTGCTGGGCGGTGGTGGCGCACGCCTTTAATCCCAGCACTCGGGAGGCAGAGGCAGGCGGATCTCTGTGAGTTCTAGGCCAGCTTGGTCTACAAGAGCTAGTGCCAGGACAGGCTCCAAAGCTACAGAGAAACCCTGTCTCGAAAAACTAAAAAATAAATAAATAAATAAATAAATAAATAAATCATGTTTTGCTTTTCAGAGATGGTAGGCAGGTTTTACCTCATGGCAGCTCCAGTCCTTAGAGAGTGGCTCCTAAGGCAATGAAGGAAAGAGTTACTGAGCCCAGTTGTCACAAAGGGTGGTTTGGAAGAGAGGTACTCATAGAGTCCTCTTTTTTTAAACTTAGGAAAACAAAGTTGGCCAGCAGATAAACTTAAATTAGTTGACTTCTAAAGTAAAAGAGTGTTCAACTGATAATGTCAACAATCATTCTCTAAAATAGCATGTAAAAATAAAAGTATAAATACTAGTTTGGGGCTGAGACCGTCTGTTACTTATTCTCTGCACCCACGAATTTTGGCATGCACTACTATTTCTGGGAAGAGAAACTTCTGCGATTTTAAGGCTGGGTGCAGCATATGTCTGTGGGTATAAGAGCATCTTGACACTACCTGTTCACTAAGCAGTAGTCACTCTTCTCTGAGACCTGTACTTACTTCTGCCGTGGTTTTTGATCAGATTTATAGTAACCAGATTTGTAGCTCCGAAGGGTCAAGGGATGTTGAAGAAGAGAACTGAATATAAAATACCATCTCTTGGGCAAGACAGCCATTGTAATCACAATTGATGGCAATATCATTTTAGATATCTGCACTGTTTTTGTAAAAGGATGAACCCATCAACAGTCGAGCATAGATGGAAGAGGAGCAGAGAGGGTCCCACCCTTCACTGTTGGACTGTTTACTGCTGATAGATTCAGGGAGAGGGAAAGCATTGCCTTCGTTGTGTGCCAGCTGGTGGCCCCTCCAGGCTCCAGCGTTTAGTTACAGTTCAGTGGCTACACAGATGGCCTTAGGTAAACTTGATGAGTCACCAAAGTCATGAAATTGGGAAAGGAACAGGTAGGGATTGAGAGAGGGTTAATAAAGATGGAAAGGAGATAAGAGTGATAGGGAGGAAGGTATGAGTAGAGAGTAATCAGAATTTTTAAGTATGAAACTTCAAAGATTATCACTATAATTTGTACTAATTCACATCTGGAAAGTTATATATGGGTAAGTAGTGTTAAATGTGTCAGAGACTTAAGCTTGTTTTATTTAATATTTGTATGTTTAAATAGCTTAAATGTTTTAACAGTTTAAATAGTTCTTTTGGAAAAAATAACTTCCTGGTACCAACTTCTGTCTTGGTCACTGTTCTGTTTACTGTGAAGAGACACCATGAGCACAGCAGCTCTTATAAAGGAAAACATTTAATTGAGGGCTGGCTTACAGTTTCAGAGGCTCAGTCCATTGTGCTCATGGCAGGGAGCACGGTCGCAGTCACAGTGCTGGAGAAGTGGACGGGAGCAGCATCCTGGTGAACGCACCGCAGTGACACACTTCAACAGCTCCTCACCTTCTTACCCTTTCACATTGCTTACCATTTTAATTGATGGTATGAACCTGGGAGGTGGACAGAAGTCTCATGCTATAGCCAGCTTTATTCAGAGCATCAGACAGTTTGTACTCTGCAGGTTAAAGAATCACACACGTAAAGTTTTCATGAGCTCAAGCTGTATACAATCACAAGGACAGGCTGCATGTAGGAAAACATGTTTTTCCATAGAGGCGAATAAACCAATAGCATTAGCCAGCTATAATAAATGATCTACAGTAAACTCATTCCTGTTGGCCACCCCTGGGAAGGACACAGAGCACATTCTAAGAACAATTCTGTGTTTTAAGGAAACTGAAGTCACAAGACTTTTGTTTGTTTTTTTGAGTTTTCTCACAAGCACTCAGAATTCTGCTCACATGACTCCTTGGACTGAGATTTCATTCTTGAACCTTGTTCTGACTCAAATAATGCCACTCCCTGGTGACTGTTTAAGTATATGAATGATATGGGGTCATTCTTACTCAAACCACCACATAAACTTATATTTTAACTTAGATTTAAAGTATGATATTTTATTTCAAAATGACCTCCTTTTAATATAGAGCTAGCTCCTATTAAAATGTAGAAATTTTTTTTATAAAGCATCACAGTTACTTAAACAACTTTGTGGCTTTATTACATTGCATATTTATACATAAGTTACTTAAAATGATAAAATTTAACTTGTAAAAGTTTACTTTTCATCATTACATTTAGTTAAAAATATTTTTCTCTTTTTTTTCCAGCCTTCAGAGTCTCTTGCATTCCAGTAGAAAGCTCTCTCTACAAGTCCTTAACTTTGTTCATTCATTCCAGGTAACACAATCCAAAACATGCAAATAGTGTTTATATAGAGCTTTATAACATGTGGAAAGTTTTTTGTTTTGTTTTGTTTTTGGTTGTTTGATTTTGAGTCCCCTCAGTAGCAAGATATGTAATCAGCATGATTTAAGACATTAACTAAGATGGACCATGTTTTCCGTTGTTCTAATAAAAACAAAAGAGGGAGATTTTGGGCTTCAAGAGGTCCCATGTGAGGCCCGGTGTAACTTCCTGAGCCAAGCTCTAGTTTGGTGACCTGTCTCTGGCTATAACGTCCACATATAAGTGGCTCAGCACAGCCCGACCTAAACCCCTCTGCAGGATATTGTTGGCCCTTATTCCTTACTCCACCTCTCCCCATCCCAAGATGCCCACCCCCCATCTCAGCCCTATATAAGTTTCTGTCTGATGCAATAAAAACGAGATCCTGCTTCACTGCCAGGGGTGGTAGGGGGCGTTGTGCAAATTAAGGTCAATGGTGTGGAGAAAAAGGATATCCTAGACTTTATAGATTCATAAATAAAATTGGAGAATAGAATATTTCTGTTCAGAATATCCGATTCAACAATTTGAAGTCAATATTGTTGACTGTGGTTTTCTGTCCTGCCCAGTTCTCGAAATCACTAAGTCCCAACGAAATCACCCAGAGGTCTACATTAGTTATAGACTGATTGGCCCATTAGCTCAGGTTTCTTATTAACTCTTATAACATATATTAGCCCGTTATTTTTGTCTGTGTTAGCCATGTGGCTCAGTACCTTATTCGGTGAGGCAGTCACATCTTGTTTCTTCTGTGGCTGGGTAAAGGACTGCAGAAAGCTTTCCTCTTCCCAGAATTCTCCTGTTCTCGTTGACCCGCCTCTACTTTCTGTCTAGTTGTCCCATCTATACTTCCTGCCTGGTTACTTACCAATCAGCATTTATTTAAAATATAATTGACAGAATACAGACCATGGTCCCACACCACACTATTTTAGAAGTTTTTTTTCATTCATTCATTCATTCATTCATTCAATAAATACTGGAGTCTTCCCTATGCCAGGCCCTTTACCAAGTATCAAGGAATCTGATGTGGAAGACATTAGTGAAGCATGTGGTATTGTGTAGACTCAGCCAAACATTAATGTTTGTAATTACAGATTTCAGTCTGTGCTTTGAGGGAGCTGTACTCTGATAGGGTCTGAAGGAGGCCCTGACCTTAAAAGATTAGTATGTAAACTGAAGCCTGTGGGGCAGAAGAGAATGTTACAGACAGGCAGGAGGTGCAGGGATCCTAGTGTCAGGACAGCGCTGGCACACAGGAGCAAAAGGCAACCGGATGGTAGAAGCACCCTAAAAAAAGGAAAGTGACAGCAGGTGAGGTTGAAGAGGGGCAGGCCTTCCTGAGCTTGTGGAAGAGCTCGTGTTTATATCAAATGCCAAGAGCCATGGCTAAAGGCTGGTGAAGGGAGAGACTATTTGGGCAGGCTTGTAACTGTGTGCTGGTTTTGGAGAGGCACAGGCTAGAGCAGGATCAGTCAGATGCCCGAGGAAGATATGCTGTGACTGAGCATTCTTTTCACTAAAAAGTGCGTGTGCTCCTAGTGAAGGGCTGTGTACTGTACATGGACCATCACACCAGTTATACAAAAGTATAACGTAAGGATTCATAGACAGTGGTGACGTTCTGAGATTCTCCATACTGTGCACCACTTTGGAATCCACTAGCCTTGGCTATGGTGAATGCTGAATCATTGAACTATGTTCTGAAGATAGATTTATAAAACTTGATGAATTAAATAAAAGAAATAATGAGGGTGTAAGTAGGAAAAAGTCAAGACTGATTCTCATGCTTGTTTAGCGAGAGGAGTTGAATGGGAAAGGCTGGGGAAGAAGTGGGGGGTGGGCCTGGTAAGAGTGTGCAGGGAGGACGCGTTAGAACTGTGGTTGGGTACTAGGCGTGCTTGGGAATGTGGGTCTGAACATGTTCATCTGGGAAGCCTGTTCAGGTGGGGAGTGTGGTGACAGCATTTTTATTGGCCTCCTGTTAGGTGATACTTAGGTCTAGCTCCAGTTGCTGAGAACTAATTTCCCCCCATCATCTCATAAGCCGTTTCTGATTGTTTTAAAAGCGCTTATTGTAAGTGCTTGTCATTTTTGCACATGTTAATATCTGCCATTGTTTTTGCTTGTTCTCTCTGCCTTCCCTAGTACTTTACATGCTATGAACATTTCTCAGGTAATTGGGTCCACGTGTTTTTCATCTGTTCTGTTTCTTCGCTGAAACTAACGTGAACTTGGATTTTTAGGAAGGTGCTTCAGCTCTGGATCTTCACTCGGAGCCCGGCTTCCCAAGTGTGCTTTCACAGTCGTCCTGTGCCGATATGGGAGTTCCACTTCCCGCCAAAAACTTAATCTTTAAAGATGGCATCTTATCGGAGTGGAGTGGACGCTCACCTTCCTCCCTTCTCATCGCTAATCTCCATCTGCAATAATTTGATTACACTACTTACTGCTCACACGTTATGCCTTTTTCCTTTCTTAATGTTGGCTTTATAGTGTCAGCCACCCAGAGCATCCTGCTGCTGCAGCAGAGCGGGCCGTGTTCACTGGTAGGAAATGCTCAGAATGTGCGCCTGTCTTCTGAAGCCGTGGTGTCGCACACCTTACTGCAGCAAAGTGCTTTTCAGCAGCCAGCTCTGGATTTTTACCTTGAGACAATCTGCATTTCTTTTATAAAACTAAGGATATACTTTATAGGCTTTAGATGACTGTTGTTTATAAGCAGTCACTATGAATATTGCAGTGGTAGTTTTATATGTTAGTTTCTCAGACATAAACCTGGTTTGATTTTATATTTTGTTACCTACACTAAGGGGATCACAGGAGGAGATAGAACTCTTCTTCTGACAGGCTTCTTGGTTCTTGAGGTCGTCACGTTAGAAAGTGACAAGCACCCAGCAGTGAGAGGTCTATACCAGGGCATTAAGGGTTCCTGCGGATGTCTGTAAATCATGTATGCCGAGTGAACATGGTTGAGTCATGCATAGTGACTCCTCATCAGCATAGTGGTGTGAACTTAACTGACTATTCATTGGCATCTCATGAAAAGCTTTGAAAAACATTCTATTTTTAAATGATGTTTGTATGTGGACTTCTGTTGTCACTCAACTTTGGGCTTTATATTTTCATGGAGTCTATGGAAACACAGAATTTATTTTCCACTGTAGTTGAGGCTGTTGCATGTCTCCTTTTGTCTTGTAGCTTTACTAATGAACTGTTAGGACACTTGACTTTGATTTCAAAGCAAGGGTTGGGATTGGGAATTGCACAGTAGCAGCAGTGCTGTCTTTGGGCTCAGCTCCATGGGAAGGCGATTCTGCATACATAGCACCTGGACCCAAAGCCTGGGACACAGTTCTGGGACAGTGGGGAAGCACTGAATAGCTTCGTGTGCTTCTTTAGGAGTTAGTTCTTTTAGTGTCTCAGATGTCAGACTATGTGGAACCACACATGGAGACTTTTCAGGTCACCTTCCTTGGGTTGTGCAGTGTTAATTGAACTCCCCCTAGAGGGTGCCTGTTAGCTTGCTGGTGTGAGACTGACTAACCAAGCTAACTGGTCAAGCAGTGTACCTGGAACACTCGAAGCATTAGACTGTTTGAGAATGTTTGAGCCTAACAGTTTTGCTGATGGCTTTTGTTATTTATGCAACTGAAATTTGTGTATTTAACAAACTTCTGGAAGTATATGCCTTTCTTGAAACTGTTAAAGTGGCCATGTATTTAATACCATGGCCTATCTGTAGAATTGAATATTTTGGACCAGGTTACTTGTAGCACAGTTAGTGCTGTGTTTGGAGTAAATGCAGTAATGTTTAGTTTTCTACTTTGTCTTGTATAAGGTAGAACTGTGTATGTCATGTTTGTCTGTAGAAGGAAAAGTACATAGTAATATTAAAATGATTTCTACGACTGTGAATCACTCGTTTATTTTTCCAATAACTGATACTGTACATTCCTAGTGCTGCTGGTTATATGTGTGTGTGTGACTTTGCCAGCTTCAACTGCAAGGTGAGAGTATTTCTTTTGATCAGGGCTTTGTAATCTCATTTGCTTTGTTTGAGTTTCCTGTAGGTATTTATCCTTGTATTAGCAGTCGAACGCCAACTCTACTGATATGTACACTAATAAAGAATTGAACAGTTGTAGTTACGACAATGAGTCCAGTTATTGCTGAGTTTATAGCTTAAAATATGGGAGTGATTTGCTGCTATAATTCCTTTGCGAAACACTGAAGGAAGAGATGGAACCTAACCATGATCATGAACTTCAGGGACAGTTCTAAAAAGATATGTTTCATCTCTAGTTTCTTGTGTGAATGGGGAGAGTGAAACCGTCAGGTTCCCAGCTGATGTCCCCTCTCTCGTGAGGGAATTCTTTGCATTTTTAGAGCAGCTAAGATGCTGTGAGTGTTTGTGCTTTGCTTTATGAATATGACCTGTTCCGCTCATGTTAGCTCGTGCAGAGATAGACACCTCTGTGAAGTCGATTAAAAATAGATAAATGTACATAGACTCTGTTCTTTGCCAAAGAAAATGGATAGAGGTTGTAGCTTGTTACTTTGCACATGTTTAATTTCATTTGGCTTTGCACCCCCTCCTTTCCATGCCTCACCCTTACTGGAACTTGAACAAAGCAAGCAAACATTTAGAAACCAAGAGAAAAGAGCTGCTAATATCAAAAAGGGCATACAGTTTAGTGGGGCCCAGTTTCACCTCACAGATGTGTCTAAAGAAGTTAGGGGCAGTTAATTCTTAGAACAGCGGTTCTCAACCTGTGGGTCATGACCCCTTCCCAGAGGTCACATATCCGATATTCACATTACAGTTTATAACAGTAGCAAAATTACAGTTCTGAAGTAGCAACAAGAGTAATTGTATAGTTGTGGGTCACTACAACATGAGGAACTGTACTAAAGGGTCACAACATTAGGAAGGTTGAGAACCGCTGCCTTAGAGCCTTTCTTGTTTAAAATATGTAACCAGATGGTTTGTGTTTGTTTGAAGGAAGTGATTTCTCTTCTGGGTGTTTTGTTTTCTCCGCCATTCACCTTTCATTTTTTATGTTCAGTGTTTCAAATACACTTTGTATTAAAGGATTTTAAAGTACCAAAACTGTAACTCAATACAGTGGATTGTTTTCTGTTATGATGTTAATATTATACAATAAAATTGTATAAAGTCTTGTCAATTTGATTATTGACACAAATAACATGTTTACAAATAAACTGTGGTGTTGATCAAGTTATCATGGAGAGTGTCTAATTTTTTGAGACTTTTGTTCTTAATATTAAATACACCTGTGCTTTTCAGCCTGACTTTCCTGTACTTTTTCAACTAACTTTTAAATGTCCTTATATCAGATTTCCAGGGAAATTGCCAGACCATGGATTTCATGTCTTTGTGCTGGCTAGTTTTGTGTCATTTGGGCAAAGGGAACCTCAGTTGAGAAAATGCCCCCACCAGATTGGCCTGTGAGCACGTCTGTGGGAACATTTTCTAATTAGTGATTGATGTAGGTGGACCCAGCTTACTGTGGGTGGTGCCACCCTGGCCTGGTGGTCCTTGCTGCTGTGACAATACAGGCCATTGCTGCGGGAAGCAGGGAAGGAGCTCTTACAAGGCAGGAGCTAATGCAGGGACAGCGGAGTGCTGCTTACCAGAAGCTTACTCAGCCTGCTTTCTATACCAAAGATCTGAGAAGAGTTGGGGGATTGAGTACCATAAAACACATGAGATTATCAGCTGATAAAAATGTTTAAAATTACAAAAACAAGAAAGAAAAAAAAAGTTTGCATAGAGTATAGGTTCCCTGTCTTACTCCAGTCTCTGGTTCAGTTTCTCTACAGTATCCCAGCAAGATGATGGGGTGGTTGGGTTTGCTTTTTTCTTTTACTACCAGATCCCTCTGCTCAGCAAAGCCATCTGCCAGTTGCGAATAATCTTTCATCTTCATGTCCAGCGATTTGGGTTGCAAGCAAGCCTCTTAGTTTTTTTTCATGGATTATTTGTTTTTCATCTCTGTGATTTTAATGGCTTCCTGCCGTGAACAAAAACTCATTGTTCTCCAATCAGAACTCTTAAAGCCTTGTATTTTATTAAGGTGCATGCACAAAGTAGAACGCTCATTCCGCTTTGACTGTGGTCAGTGTTTAGCCCTCCCGGTTACTGCAGACAAATCATATATATTATTTATATATGCGTGAGCAAACAGTTCTGTCCCCTACCAATAGATTCTAAGGTAAAACCTGAATACTATACAATCTATTCCATAATTTATACTATTACTGAATTGCTGGAAGCAATGGTTCCCACAGCTAGAAATGACACATGTACCCCACTTAAACCACCACTACTGACCTGACAATAGAATTAAAGTCTGCCAAAAATCAGTCCAAAGCATCAAATAAGAGATAGTCACGTTTAAAGGGATGGGAAAAATTTAAATTATCAGATATGTTTGTGTACCAAGAAAATGCAAAGATGAATGAAACAAGATTAGAAATAAGACTGGAATGACTTACAACTTGTTTTATTATGAATATCATGAGAAAAGAATTCTAAATTATTTTTAGACCTTTAGTTGACACATAAAATGTAAAGCATACATATTAATAGAATTTCATTTATTTAGTGTTGATATTTGTGGGCAGTACCCAATGCATATGTGTGACTAACACCAGTCTTAAGCATCATGGGAAAAACTTTTGGGGAAGGGGCTGTGCAGAGGTATTTCTAAAAATATCTTTTAAATTCTTTGAGAATTTTATACATACATACACACACAATGTACTTTGTTCATATGTACTTCCTACTCCCCACCCTCTAGCACTTATTGTTTTTTTTTTAAATTCCCCCACGGATCTCCATTTGTGTTGCGCATCACTCACAGATGTGAGGCCATCCATTGGTGCATAACTGACATCCTGGGTACTGTACCCCTAAGGAAATGGACTGTCCTTCCCTCAGCAGCCAACCCACAACTGTCATTAACTCTCAGCTGGGGGTGGGGGCTGTGACCGCCTCTCTGTGCTGGAATGCTGACTGCCATGATCCTGTGCTGGACTTAGGCAGACAGCCGTTGTGAATTCAGGGGTGCGGTGGTCCCATCATGTCCAGAAGACACTGTTTGGTCCTGTTCTACCTCCGGATCTTAGAATCTTTCCACCACCTTCTTCCATAATGTCCCATGAGCTGTGACTATATGTGTGTGTGATCCTTAATGTGTGTGAACCTGTGTGTGTGTGTGTGTGTGTGAGTGTGAACCTTTGTGTGGGCGTGTGTGATACAGATGAGCACTCCACACACACTTATTTTCTGCACTTGGACAAGTGAGTTTGTGTTAATCACCATCCACTCAGAGAGAAGCATCTCTGCTAACTTCTAAGAGAGGCACCAATCTATGGTACAGAGCTACATATTTAGAGGATAACTAGATGCCATGTTCACTTAACAAAATAATAGTTCATCCCTGGGGCATATGAGTTCCCTGGCCATGGATTTTTGGTCAGATTTACAGCATCGAATATGAGTTTCTTCCTGTGGGGTGGGCCTTAAATCCAACCACAATGTGGTTTATTATCTCCATAAGGTCTCTGCTGCTGTTGCTTCATGTGTTTGTCTGTGTCAGGCTGGTCTTTATTGTAGCTCACGTGTTCACAGTGGGGTGAGACTGCTGATGGCATTTCACCCCAGCAGCCTACATAACACTTCTGGTATGATGTTTTCAGCAATAGGCTCTTACCATCAAGTTGTGGTAAACAACCAAGAGCAATGGCAAAATAGGCTGTGCTCTTTGGGCAGTGTGGAATGGGGGTGGGTGGGCATGGTCTCTGGGACACCCCTGACATGGTGCGAACTTTCAATGTCCTCTCTTCTGATCTTTCTCTTTAAATGTTTTTGTTTCATGTGTATATATGTACTCCTAAGTATATTTGTGTGTGCCCTATGTGTACAGTGTTCATGGAGGCCAGAAGAAGGCATTGGATCCCTTGAATTGGGGTTACAGGCAGTTGTAAGCTCTCCATTGTGGGTGCTGCAAACTGAATTTGGGTCATCTGTCAGAGCAGCAAGTGCACTTAACCACAGAGCTGTCTCTCTAACACTTGAGGTAGGCCATAAGGCTAGCTGCCAACTATTTCCAGTTTCTGTCCTTCCTAGACCATAGGAGAATCACATGGTCTATCATGTGATTGGACTGGGTCCTATGACTCATCTGGCCAAGGGTCAATAGATTTAATGGTATCCATTCTGGAAAGATCCACCTACATCTCCTGTTTTCTAGTGAAGCGGCTAACATTTAAGATGGGGGGCTCCATCACCCTGGGCGCCTGCAATGACTAGGCCTACCTTCCCCTGGTCTGTGACGGACATGTATCTACAGTGGGCCTCATACGGTGCCATGGAAAAGAGTTCCCACACAGATGTGAAGTCTTTCCTCCCTTTCCACACATGCATTGTGAGGCCAGACAACCTTATATGTACCAACCGAAATAGGGTAGCACAACAGACAGATTGAAGACGTGGATAAGAACTCGGCTGACCACGAACATGGAGAACAATGCTGTTCCTTGCAGCCAGTTTCCTTTGTGTCGGGGAAAGGTAGCTATTTTTGTAAAATATGTTCACGTGCAGTAAGGTTCTTGTAATTTGAGCTGAACCAATAAGTAGACATTTACTTTTCTTCATTTTTATTCTCCAATGCAGTCAATATCAATAAATGTAATACATTCAAAAACTCCTTAACATTTTCAGAAACGTGTGTGTGTGTGTGTGTCCTTGTGTGGGGGTCTGAGGACAACTTCCAAGGTTCAGTTCTTTTCACCACGCGGCTCCTGGGCATTGGGCTTAGGTCGTCAGGCTTGGCGGCAGGCACCTTTACCACCCAGCTATCTCGTCAGAACAATGTATTTAAAGCTCTCTGAGCTTGAGAACTAACTACCAACCTTCCTAAGTGTGATTAAGGAGATGGATGTTTAAAAAGTGCTACCAGCTGTAGCCTGTATAACCATTTAAAGCACTTCTATGTTAGGAAATAGTTTTGAATTAGTCTTTCTTTTCTGCCCTGACATTCAGTGTAGTCAACTGGAAACTACTGGAAGAAAAAAAGAGGAAGAAGATGTCGAGCAAATGTCACTGCTTGGTGATAAAACAGAGGGCTTTCCTGGTAGGCTTTCCCACTCATTTCCCACACACACAACATGGGCACAGCTCAGCACTCTAGTTTGTGTGAGCCTGGGCTCAAGCTGGTCTTCATTTCGCAGAATTAAAGGATGCAGTTCAAAAGACTTAAGAAACGTTTTCATATGTTTAATATGTGCTCTAAAATGCACTTTAATCATTTCCCTGTGTAGTTGGTGAGCGTCAGGCAAATACATTGTCTCAAAAGATCTTGATAAAAGTCTTTAGTGACACACCAATACCAATGGAATAAAGCAAAAGTCGCTTGTTAAGAAATTAAGCTCACCGGCAGATGGCTCAAAGCAAACCACCGGATGAAATCAGGATCAGCTATAGTTTGAATATTTCTTTCTTTCTGATTCAAGGTCTGGCTGTGTAGTCCAGGCTGGCCTCCTGCCTCAGGCTCTAGAGTGTGAGAATGACCCAATTGCAGGATGCAAAGCCAGGGAATGGGGCTGGCCACAGTGGGTGGGGTGTTCTGTGTCAATTAATACAATCAAGACAGTCATCCACAGATACTCCCCCAGACCAACCTGATATAGACAATAGTGCATTGAGATTCTCAAGTGATTCTAGATTGGGTCAAGTCGACAATTAAAGCCAGCCAGCACACCTGTGGTTTTTCTCCTAGAGTGTGAGGAAAGATGAGCGCTTCGTAGCATGTTAGGAGTCCTTTCACGTGTCTTGTTGCTTTTGTTTTGCCCATCCAAAACCATGAGTGCTTTTCATTTTCCAAACAGGCTTCTACTCAGCCCCTGGCAGAATCCCCAGCAGCTGTTTGTGCAGTGTTTGCTCTCTGTCCTTTGAACATCACTGCAGGAAAACCAGACGCCAGGAGGGCATGGCAACCCAGGGAAACTTTTCTTTTACTTCATCTCTCAATGATGGACAACTGGGTTGTAAAAGACCTTTGTCCAACTCCCTGGCATTATGTCCTTGAGCTGCTGTGAGCTTGGGAGGCTTGGAGAATTCTCCGGGCTGTGTCTTCCAAGGCAATCTCTTCTCTCCCCGTGGGTGGCAGTGTTTCCCTTTTTCTACCCTTGTTCCTAGTGGGAAATCGCCTATGTT